TATATGTATATATATCAGTTGTCTAGTACCTATAGTACAAGCTCTCCTTAGTTTGTGACTAGATGGCGTTGTGTGTATGTGGGGTAGAATATTATTTTATATTTTGGACGTGTATTGAAGTGCCATTAAAAAAAAAAAAGAAGAAAATTTATCAGCAACAGAATCTATTCCTCAGCAGTTGTCACTCACTCCGTTGACATGTCTTCATTCTGTCACTGGGTTTGTGATGACAGTAGGTGAATATTATTTTTTTATATTTGAAAAATCCAAAATCGATCTAAGTGGCGTGCAATGGGAGAGGCCTACGTCCAGCAATGGACTGCGATAGGCTGATGATGATGATGAACTATTTTACATTTAGCCAATTGCCCGAATTTACTAAAGAAGTAAGAAAGGAAGAAGAAAGAAGTTTAGTATCCGCAAGAGTTATCATTCACTTAGTAGATATTAACTATATTATCACTAATGCCCGGTTTCTGAAGTTCCCAGTTATACTCTCATTAGCTATTGATACAATAAAGTTATGTATAGGATAAACGTCGGTTAACTGTCACTGCGTTTCTGAACACGCAATGAACCGTTCAATAACTATCAAACAGATAAGCAGTTCCATAATCTGCCGTTAGATGGGTCTGTTTAAGAGATCAAGTTTAAAATTAGTTTTATTATTTTAATTCAGGATTATTACTTTATTTACGAGAATATTTTATTCAAGGTAAATAAGTATTGTTTAGTTATAAATTATTAAAATTCGCTATTTATCAGCGGATGAATGAACGACATCGTAGTCAATTTTTTTTTTAAATAAACCTCAAACTCATTGATGTCAAAAAAAAGTTTCGTCTAGTTTCATCGTGGTATTATTTTTCTTTGCATTTACCGTGGTCTTTTCTATCGTTTGTGCTTTATCTTTTCTTAAAAAATTGTGCCTTTACTTCTCTCAGGTCTTCATTTGGCATACGTATGTAACTCCTAGCTAGCTTTGCTATTTCCTTGCTCACTTTATAAACCACTCTTGACACAGTGGTTTTGTGAACGTTAATGTCATCACCAATGACTACTTGGAAAGTACCTGTAGCATAAAATCGTAATGCTATGAAGATTTGTTCCAACACAGACAATGTATATTTGCGATCCATAGCGGGAGCTAGATCAGGGCTGTTAATATCACTCTGACAATTTAATAATAACAGTTATAACCTAAAAGTTTATGTAATTTGCTTGAAGCAAAACGTCAAATAAAGTTATGAAATCGATAAACGGCACACATTGTTCAGTTAAGTTAACCTAAGTTTAAACGGAGTTTAACTTACATTGCTGATGTTCAAAAAAGCACTTTTTTTTAGGTTATCGAACCAATGCCCCTAATAAATAAAAAACTCCCCTTTTTAAAATTTCCCTCAGAAACCGGGCTAATGAAGCCATGCTCTGTGAGTCCCTTCATACAGCATGATCGCCTCACAAGGGGTCCGTAAGGCCTGCTTTGACGACTATAGACGATCAAGAAGCAAAGAAGATCAAGGTTTCCTTTACCAGATTTGTAATTTTTTAACTCTTTGGTCTTGTTCTTTAGTTAAAAAGCTATTTTTTTTTTTAAGAAAATATCATTCCCAACAGTTGTCAGTTACTCGGTAGGCAATTTTTTTATTCGTCCCGAATGGTGAGATGCTGTAAAAAGATGTGAAACCAAAAAAAAGTTTAAGACAGAAAAATCATTTTGTTTTAATTGGGATAACCAAGGGTTTCCTTACCGAGACGGCGTATGTTTTTTTATCGGTTTGAGTTTTCCCAATAATACCCACTGGTCGTGGGTGGTATCCCGGGGTTTTTTGCACAGAAAAAAAAATGCATGAAGGCTGCGAAAACTTTGGAAATAAAACAAGAAGTCATTCATTTCGCAATGCGCCATTTACTGAGCGACGGGTTTTTTTTCTGTTACTGGGTTATTGAATTACAGCATGGAAAAAATCACAAATTGTTTTTTCTTTAATTTCACACAAAGGTGTTTTTCAAAAAATTACATTTTTCAGTAAGCTTTTTTAAATTTTTTCACTGGATGCAGGATGATTTCGCGAAAACTATCTTTCATTCACAAAAATTTAGCCATTTTATAAATAATACCTCAAAAAGGGGGATGTTTTCTTTTCGTTGAGTAATAAAAAAAACAGAAAGTGGAATTTATAAGTAAAAAAGAAAAAAAAGAACATACAATCACTCAAAAAGCCCCTAACAGTACCTGGACCCAAAAACCCCCTAAAAAAGGGTGTTTGGCCACATACCACGCTGGCCCGACGGGTTTGGTATAGGGTTTGGGTCAAGTTCTCCTTCTCTCTGCAGTGTTTTTTGTCCTGGTAGTTTTTCTCCCTTAGTCACTCTTTCGACACCCACGGGATGTAGGGGTGGTGACACTCTGTATTCTTAAACCTCACCCCCGGGGGGGGGGCTGAGAGGAAGTACGAAATAAAAAAAAACACAAAAAAAGTGGGGGATTGCTTATAAACCGGGACTAAAAATAGTTTTTTTAAACGTTCCTACCTTTTAAAAGTTTAGTAGCAGAGTAATCACAGATCGGAAGATTAGTTTACAATTTATCACGGGGTTGGATGACTGGGCGTCACACGGTCTAAACGGATAGGAGCGAGACCCAAAAAAAAGTGTAACAAGATTTTTTCCCGACACTTCAGTTGGGCCGACGCTAAAACTTTTTTAAAATTTATTACATATGTGTATACAAACGTCTACAGAAAACGAAAGTTTTCTTCCGGGGTCCATAGACCCCCCCCCCTGTTTTTAAATACTTTTTTTATGGTACTAACAAGCAGACGGGTTACCTGAACTAACGCCAGCCATGGACACCTACAACTCAAGACACACAAATACATTGTCGTCCTATGTGGGTCCTATGGTCCTATGGGTGCTCCACTATCCCCCCCCTCTCCCAAGGGGGGTGTATATTCTAAAGACCAGGGTAACGCACTTGTTTATCTAAATTTCCGCAATTCCCCCTCCCCCAAAAGAAGGGGGGGGGGGGTACAAAAACCCCCCCGCGGTGAGAGCAATGAAGGAAACGGTTCTATGTAAGCCGCCCCCTCTTACCTTTTTGGTGAGGCAATCTTGGGAAATCCTTCTGCATACGGAGACGGAGACACGATCGTGGGGGCCCCCTTTGGGGGGGCTCACTGACGTCAACCGTGAAAAATCAAGTTCCACCCCTGAAAATTAAAACGTAAGGGTTTTATTTATTTTTTAAAATTTCAATAATAAAAAAGGGAATTTTAAATTTAAATGTTTTAAGGTTCATATTTTAAAGTCAAAAAATTTTTAAAGAAAGTACTTTTAAATTTTAAAAATTTCAGACGAGATAAAGGAAGGAAAATAAAAAGGGGGAGGGGGTCTTTGTGTGATAACTCCGCGGTTTGTGGCACAAAAAGTATTTAAAAAATTGGATTTTTGTAAGGGGACGTCCCCGAAAATTGGACCCCTCCCAACCCCCGTCACAACAAAAGTAAAACCCTCGACCTCCTCCCCCCTTAGTGTGATGTAAAGGGGATAAGGTGTAAAAATTTAAATTCATATTAGAAAAGGAAATATATATTTGTCCCAAATTTTGGTAAAAACAATATTTTGATGTTACAAAATATTTTTAAAAAAAAAGGCTTAAAATAGTAACCCCTAGGAAAATATTAATTTTTTTTTTTATGTTTTAAAGGGGCAAACGAGCAGAAAGGGTTTTCCCCCGATGGTAAGCAAATACCGCCGTCCCTGGACCCCCTGCAACCCCAAAGAAAAACAAGTGCGGGTTTCTGCCCTTGGAAACCTTCCCGCTGGGGGTCCCGCGGGACGGGGGGTTTGGGCTCATGTAAGCTCATCCTCAGTTAAAGGCAAAACCCAAAAAAAAATTTTTAAAACCGGGTTTTCCCGTGAGGCCCGTGGGGGATCACTCCGGGCGGCCCGGGCCCCCGGGAAAAGTCTTTTGGTTTTCCAGGGGTTACCTTTTAAAGGGGGGATCGGTTTCCCCCGGGTACTGGTTTCGTTTATCTTTTTTTTTTTTTTTTTTTCCGGTGGGGGAAATCCCCCCGGGGGTTTTTTCCCCCCCTGTCCGGGGGCAAAGTCGGACTTTAACCCACTAAAACCGCACGCCTTCGCCCGGGGACAAAGCCGGGGGAAACCCGGATACCCTAGAAAGGAAATCCCTTTTGGTTTTCAGGCTACGGTACCTAGAACGGCGTGTGGTTTTGGCGGTTCGAGCCGACCTGCCACCGAAAGGGGGTTCCTTTGGGGATTTCCGCATGGAAAAAAAAAAAAAAAAAAAAAAAACGTCCCAGTACCCGGGGGGAAAGATATCCCAAAAAGGGAAGTCCCGGGTGCAGGCTACGGGTCCCTAGAGACCGGGGGGTTTAGGGGTGGGTTTCGATCCGACTGCCCCCGACAGGTGGATCGTGGGATTTCCGCATGGAAAAAAAAAAAAAAAAAAAAAAAAAAAACGTACCAGTAGCCGGGGAACCAGATATCCCCTAGAAAGGAAGTCCCTGGTGCAGGCTACTGGTACCTAGAGACGGCGTGTGGTTTATGGTCGGTTCGAGTCCGACATAACCTCACAGGCGGGTGAAACCCGATGGGAGTTCCCATGGGAGTGCCAATATTTCCATCTCGTCCGGTTGACCGCAATTAATTAGACCACGCACAACTAATCTATGGAACAAATTATCGTCTGCGGTATTTCCGGACCGATACGAACTTCTGCCTAAAAGGCCGACAACGCGTTTGTGACTCCTGAGTTGCAGACATGAATGTACGTGGAAGCATCATCACATCATCAACAGCCTTTAATAGTCCACTGGCACAGGCCATGGACATTTCCTTAAAAACGGGTTGGCATAGGGTTTTCAAATTTTCCTTCTCTTTGCAGTGCTGTTGTCCTGCGTAGTTTTCTCCCTTAGTCGGCTCTTACGACACCCACGGGATGAATAGGGGTGATGACACTCTGTATTCTTACTCTATCACCCCACGGTTCTATGTATGATATAAAATTGCTTCAGTATTACCTCAGAGAAGATAGGATCCTGTTCTGGGTTATTGTAGTCTCTGAACTGTTTTGTGGCGCGCAGATATGCTTCAATAATGTCGATCTTTTCCTTGGCGCGATCTGTGAATAGACAAATCAAATTAGATAACCTTCTAAAAGAAACTAATTTTTTTTATGTTAGAGGGGGCAGACGAGCAGACGGGACATCTGATGGAAAGTGACTATCAGGTCACTTAGAGGGCCGTCTCCTTCTGCGAGCAAGTTATGCTCGCGAAGGAGACGGCGGAGCGGGGCGACTCAGGCGCCGGAGGTCGCAGAACGACCTACGTCCTCCATAAGCGCAGGCCTGGGGGTGACAGGTGAGGCCATCTGTCACCCTAGCAGAAGCAGGCCGGGGTGGCGGCGAGCGCGTTGCGAAAGCGCGCTCGCTTCCAGGGAGCACAGGTAACATGGGGTTCCCACACGGGGGGGGTCGTCTACTCGTCTGTATATGACCCGAGGTATGTCGGGGCACCAGGGACTTCCTTTCTAGGGTATACCTGGTTCCCCGGCTATAAGTACCCGAGACGGCGTGCGGTTTTAGTCGGTTCGAGTCCGACATGCCACCGACAGGTGGTATCCGAGGGGATTTCCGCACGGAAAAAAAAAAAAGGTCGCTTAGAGGGTAAGGTCAAATTAGCCTCGAAGAAGCTCGGTGTACTGAACAGAGCGAGGCAGTATTTCAATCCGGCCCACCGCCTTCAGCTCTATAAGGCGCAAATCCGTCTGCATATGGAATACTGTTCTCATCTCTATGCAGGGGCACCTCTGTACCAGCTTCTCCCTCTGGACCGCATTAAACGAAGAGCGACTCGAATCGTCGATAGCCCAAACATCTCCGATCGAATCGATCCCTTGGCGTTACGTAGAGATGTGGCTTCACTCTGCATTCTCTATCGCATATATCATGGAGAGTCCTCCGAGGAATTGTTCGGACTATACACCAGCCGCAAATTGCCGCCATCGTTTCACACGGCAAAATCTTCATCCTCATCACCTGGATAGTTGGCGCTCCAGTACTTTGCGCTTTCCGAGACACTTTTTGCTGCACAACCAATCTGTGGAACAAGTTATCGTCTGCGGTATTTCCGGACCGATACGACCTTCAAACCTTCAAGAAAAGAGCGTACTCCTTCTTAAAGGGTCGGCAACGCGTTGTATGTCCTTTCCCTGAACACGAACTATCTCTATACCGGATTTTGATCTAAATCAGTTCATCGGTTTAAGCGTGACGAGATAATAGGAGGACAGACACACAGTTATGATATTAGTTTAAAAATCAGAGACCCCTCATCTCACACACGGACGTCTGATCTCAAACTAGACAGAGCCTGTACTATGGTAACCAGACTGCTGATAAACATACTTGTATTTACAAACTAGCTGAGACCCGCGGTGTTACCCGCGTTTGTTGTTATAACCGCGGGCAACGCCGCGGGGCGAAGCTAGTCTAAAAAAAGTAGCCTAAGTTACTCCTTATGTCATCAGTTATCTGCCAGTGAAAGTCCCGTCGAAATCGGTCCAGCCGTTCCAGAGATTACCCGGAACAAACAGACAGACAAACAAAAATTGTAAAAAATGTTATTTTGGCATATGTACCGTGTAAACATACATATGCATTTAGTTATTTTAATATTACAAACAGACACTCCAATTTTATTTATTTGTATAGATAAATAAAATTAAAGTGTCTGTTTGTAATGTCAAAATAATAGGTTTTTTTTTCATGCTCACACGGTTATTTGCACGATACCTATGCCTAAAAACCAGTTTTAATATTTTTTATGAGTCTGTCTGTTTGTTCCGGGTAAACTTCGAAACGGCTGGAACGATTTTGATAACATTTTACAACCAAGTAGCTGTCTATATAAGGAGTAACATAGTATTTTTTCTCTCAGAAAAACCATATAAAATTTTGCCTGGTCCGGGAATCGAACTCACTAAGGCAGCGCTTTTCAAATTCCACGCGAAGGAAGTCGCGGACACCAGCTAGTATATTACTAAATACATAATAAATAATAGATACATAACACCAGAAAATAGAACAATGATCGTGCTCATCACAGAATTTTCTGTCCTGGATGGGAATCGAACCCACAACCTCGGTCTTAGCAGTCAGTGTCACTAAACTACTACAATATCACTACACACTATCACCTACCAATGTAATATAACATTATCTTGGTTAGTAACAAAGTTAAAAAAAAAAGAAAGAAAAAGAGTATACTCAGTAATTAACTCATAGAAAACCGCAGTGATGATAATGATGATAGTGGTGATGATTATTTCATTACTGATGGGTGAATTAACAGTAACAGAATGATGATAATGACAGTGATGATGGTGATGAGGATGATGATAGTGGTGATGATTATTTAATTACTGATGGGTGAATTAAAAGTAACACAATGATGATAATGACAGTGATGATGATGATGAGGATGATGATAGTGGTGATGATTCTTATTTTTGGTAAATGAAGAGTTGTTGAAATTGATAATGTAGTGATGATAATTTTTTTAATTACTTTGGGTAAATTAACAGTAACGCAATGATGATAGTGATGATGGTGATGAGGATGATGATTACTATACGTCATTTTACTCACTGGTTTGACTGAGATACTGCAACGAGCGCTCGTCAACGGGGAAGTGTGCGACCGTAGCACCGAACTCCGGACACATATTGGCCACTGTAGCTCTGTCGGCGATGCTGAGAGCGAACACTCCTGGCCCGAAGAACTCCACGAATTTGCCCACCACGCCCAACGCTCGCAGATGCTGGGATGATAATTATATTTTATTTAAACTAAGAGTTCCAATACGCCAGGCTTCCCCAACAGACCGCCAGAGATTTATACAGGGTGTAAGGGACGTCGTAACGAATACTGAAATAGTGTATTCAGACTATCATTCTGAGTCGAAAATAATTGGAATTTTCTGGAATTTCGTTTCGAAAATCATTGGAATAAAAAATGATATCACAATGAGTAAACAAAACATTTTACCGAAATCAATTTAATAAATACCGCATACGGTCTAATCCAACAGCTAAAGCGCGCGGGGGTTCCCCTCCGGCCGCCAGCTTGTGTTAGTGTGCGTAGTCTACGCACGGAATACACATGTAGTTACTACTTTTGTGCGATACCCACGGGGAAGGACCTTATAGGTCAGCTGATTGCATAAAAAGTTTAATTTTCCAGCAGAAAATTCCAATGATTTTCGACTCAGAATGATGATCTGGATGGCGTAGTGGTTTAAGCGGTCGCCACCTACGCCGAGTGCTGTGGGTTCAAACCCCACATGGGACGACACTTTGTGTGATCCACAAATTGTCCTCACCCAAGAATCAAACTATCTCCATAACAAATTTTATATAAATCGGTTCAGCGGTTATTGGTTCCTCATACAAACTTCTACCCTTCTTTTCCTCCTCTTATATGATGATTTCTGGAATAATCCATCAGCCATCCGTGTGGTGACGGATTAAGAATACAGTGTCACCACCCCTATTCATCCCGTGGGTGTCGTAAGAGGCGGCTAGGGAAGCAAACTACGCAGGACAACAGCACGGCAAAGAGAAGGAAAACTTGAAACAAACCCTATACCAACCCGTCTGGCCAGCGTGGTATAGTAGGTCAAAACCTCCTTTCTAAGGAGAGGCCTATGTCCAGCAGTGGACTATTAAAGGCTGTTGATGTGTGATGTGATGTGTGACAGAAAACCGGTGTTAGGCAATTCCTTCGTTACCTTTCACTGAGTGAGGAAGGTTACCGGAGCCCATATCCCCCTCCCACTGACTCGAGCACTCCAAGGGCAGCCACGCACTTGAGACCCCTTATAAAATAAAAAAAAGGTGTATGTATATATTATGATCACCAACTCACCTTGGTGATTGTCAAAACCAGGTCAGTGGAAGTGACCAAGGGATTTAGTTCACCGATCAGCTTGTACCCCACGACCTTCGGTATCAACATGCTGATGGCCTGACCCAACATCACAGCTTCCGCTTCAATGCCTGGAGACGCACAAACAAATTAAAAAAAAATAAAAAGTTAGTTGGTAGATTTTTTCTATCTTGAATTACTTTTTGTAACTTAATAAGTTAGTTGGTAGATTATTTCTATTTTGAATTACTATTTGTCACTTACTAAGTTAGTTGGCAGATTTTTCTATTTTGAATTACTATTTGTAAATTAATATTCCTCACTAAAGATTACTAATAAATAAAGGCAACACAAATTAGCGGGTCCAGTGTGAGTTTCTTTTACATCTACTCGTTCTCGACGGTGACCTCGTTTGGCGCTGCGATTGGTAAACAGTTCAGTGCCAGCCAATCGCAACGACGAGCACGGTAAGGAGACGACAAAAAACGAGGGTTATAATATTGTAATAATAATAATATTGTAAAGAGAGGCTTATGTCCAGTAGTGGACTATTAAAGGCTGTTGATGATGATGAATAATATTGCATCACATTCACACAACGCCATCTAGTCCCAAACTAAGCAGAGCTCGTACTATGGCTACTAGACAACTGATATAAATACATATATACTTTTTTTGTAAATACATACATATTATACATAGAAACACCCAGACCAAATCAAACATTAAATGTTGATGCACACAAATGTTTGACTTGAGCGGGAATCGAACCCGCGACCTTTGGAATAGCAGTCCGTTACACAAACCACTACGCCGTCCAGTCGTCAATATATGTATATCACATATATGTTTGTCTCTATGTTACCTCATAACAATCAAAAGGCTAGACCAATATTGATTAATGTTATGTCATGTCACTGGATATAGTAAAAAAAAAAAACAAAAGTATGTTATTAATTTACTGTCTTCATTTATACAGAGTTATCAAAATTATGGCTTTTAAAAAACGATTAAAACAAGCTAATTTTTGAAAAACAAAAAACGTGACAAAATTTGGGTAAAAATGTGTAGGTACCTACTTAAAAATGACAAACCAGCGATTAAAAGTTTTATAATTTCCATATACCATGTGTTACTCTCACAATTAAAAAAATCGCTTGTCTGTAAAGTCGGTTTACTGACGATAGTTGAACGTGACAACGTCATAAGAAAATACTGATGGAATGGTTGCATTTTTCAAAAATGTATTATTGTATACGAGTAGCCGCTGTCCACGCGGACGCATCGCTCACTCAAGTAGGAGAGAGACAGATGTCGAACGCTGCCGAACGCGGAGGCCGATTGTGCCTCTTTGTCACTCGATCCGCGCTCTCGCTTGTACTTCACGCCTTAAATGGAACGCCTCAGAGCGACGGGTAACGCCGCATGAGTCATGTTTTGTCGTTGCGTGCCAGCCGGCTCCATCGAATTATAAGACGTTGTCACATCAAAAGAATCTAACGACACCACAAACGGCGAAACGCACCACCGTTTAGACCACAGAGCGTGTCCAAGAAATATACATACATCCACCATGTGGTGATGGATTAAGAATACAGAGTGTCACCACCCCTATTCATCCCGTGGGTGTCGTAAGAGACGACTAAGGGAGCCAACTACAGCACTGCAGAGAGAAGGAAAACTTGAAACAAACCCTATACCAACCCGTCTGGCCAGCGTGGTATAGTAGGCCAAAACCTCCTTTCTAAAGAGAGGTCTATGTCCAGCAGAGGACTATTAAAGGCTTTGATGGTGATGATGATGTTTACTCACCTCCCACTCCCCATCCAACTACTCCAAGACCGTTGATCATGGTAGTATGAGAGTCGGTTCCCACGACGGAGTCAGGGTGTAGTAGATCACCAGTAAAGACCACGCGAGCCAAGTACTCCAAGTTTACCTGAAGGAATGAAGAATATTATTATGTAATCTAAAGATTAAAGAAAAGAGGTCGCTGATATTCTGATACAATAAAATAATAATATAATATAATTAAATTGTACCACATTCACACAACGCCATCTAGTCCCAAACTAAGCAGAGCTCGTACTATGGGTACTAGACAACTGATATAAATACATCTATACTTTTTCTTTTTATAAATACATACATATTATACATAGAAACACCCAGACCAAATCAAACATTAAATGTTCATGCACACAAATGTTTGACTTGAGCGGGAATAGAACCCGCGACCTTTGGAATAGCAGTCCGTTACACAAACCACTACGCCATTCGGTCGTCAAAAATATTATGTACCCAAAATGATGAACATACCACATGTATTTATATACAATACAAACCATACCTATATTTTTCTTTTATTATGTATTTTTGTAAAAACTAATTTTATTTTTTTTATTTTTTGCATTGTTGTACCTTTATTAACACCTTAATAGGTATACCCATGTTCGCAAAATAAATTATTTGATTTGAAAACTTCCGAAAAAAATACGAAATTCAGTTTTTCCCATATTTGGATACTACATTGTCTATAATATTACTACATTCAAGAAAAATTATATGTATTTTGGATTTTAAATTATTCAGTTTGTTGGATAGGCGCTCCAAGTAAACAGTAGCATGTGATTTTTCTACAAAATTTTATAATTATTAGTTGTTATTTTTATTGCATTTTAAAACAAACCCTATTTTTCACTTGTGTGCCAATTTTCATAACTACAGATTTGGAATAAAAAAAGTTATGTCAAAAAGAAACTCAAACTGTCAAAAATGTCTGCCCTGTAAAGTTCAATAAATGTCAGATCCATCACTATTCTACGACTATGACGAAATATTTGAGATGAAACTAAAGTTTATGGTCCTTCGAGCCATGGTTCGAAAGACCAAAAAGTTTTCTTTTTTCTTCAAATAATTAATACTTACTTGATGTACAATCCCAGAACCTGGTGGCACGATTAACATGTTGTCAAAGGCTTGAGCTCCCCACTAAAAATAAGAAGAAAATACTGATTAAATATGGCAAAAGTAAATTATAACAGTAATATTCTATGATCTGTGTTGTATCTGTAGTCACTTTCCATCAGATGACCCGTCTGCTCGTCAGCCCCTCTAACATAAAAAAAAAGACGTGTGGCACTCGGGGACTGCCGCGGTAAAGCTATTGCATAGCATTTTGTATCAACTTCTGTATCAACTATCTTTTTCTTTGATATTAATTCAAGTTACACTTTTTGAGCGTGGTGATCGATAAGAAAACAATTTTTTTTCTTTTATTAAATAAAAATATTGAAGCATATATTACAATTTGTTTTTAAAATAAATAAATAAAAAAAATCCTTTGACGTTCAGCATTTGATTTTGGTACTGTTTTTTGTTTTGTTTTTAGCGTGAGGTTTTTTTTCGTTACGGATATTCTGGATTCGGTCCCCGCGCTCAAGGCCCTCGATAGAAGCTATGCAATAGCTTAAAAAACAGTGCTTTCTAACCCAAACTGAACATAGCTTGTACTGTGGGCTCTAGAAAATAATAAGATACATATTTCTTCTATCAGGAGCGAAGCCTACCCCCAAACCTCTTAACCCCGCACAGAGACAATTAACGAGGAACAACCGCGGCGGGGTACCCTTAACTCCTGGCCGCACCTCAGTTTAGTGTTTTCCACCTACCAGGGTCACCCTAATCAAAGCCTCCAAGGACCCGCTCTGAGCCTAACTGTATCTCCTTATTATCGAAAGTCATTTTTGTAATATATTTTTGCAAGTAAATCAATTCTTAATTGTGAAAGTGACCTTACTCGTAACCTAACTAATAATCGTGACCCTCCTTGACCACGTTACAATACATACATTCAAATAAAATTAAAAAAAAAACTACCACATTCACACAACGCCATCTAGTCCCAAACTAAGCAGAGCTTGTACTATGGGTACTAGACAACTGATATAAATACATATATACTTTTTTTGTAAATACATACATATCTATACTAATATTATAAAGCTGAAGAGTTTGTTTGTTTATTTGTTTGTTTGTTTGAACGCGCTAATCTCAGGAACTACTGGTCCGATTTAAAAAATTCTTTCAGTGTTAGATAGCCCATTTATCGAGGAAGGCTATAGGCTATATATCATCACGCTAAGACCAATAGGAGCGGAGCACCAATGAAGAATGTTTCAAAAACGGAGAAAATTTATTACTATTGAGAGTCGCAGACGAAGTTGCGCGGGTCAGCTAGTTATAGATAGAAACACCCAGACCAAATCAAACATTAAATGTTTTTCTTGAGCGGGAATCGAACCCGCGACCTTTGGAATAGCAGTCCGTTACACAAACCACTACGCCATCAGGTCGTCAATAATAATAATAATGTATTAGAACTTCTTACCTTCAAAAACTGGAATCTCTCTTTGTTCCTCTCAAACTCAAGTTCTTGATTCTTATTCAGGGCATCAGGGCTGAAAGAGAACTCCTATTAATCCTGAGTGGAACTTTCCAATCAACAGCTTAATACTTGACGGTTAGGTGTTACCAGCTTTTGCCAGTTTGAAAACCAGGTATAAGACTATGTCCTGCTGACTTCCCAGCTTTTGCCAGGTATAGGACCCTGAGCTGCTCCAGATATTGCTTCCACTCTCCAACCCATTCGTATAATCCATCACTTTCCTACCATTGCCTTTTTTATATGACACTAGCTAGTGCCCGCGACTTCGTTCGTGTGGAATTTGAAAAGCGATGCCTTGGTGGGTTCGATTCCCGGACCGGGAAAATTTTTGCCTAGGTTACTCCTTATATAGACAGCTACCTGGTATTAAAATATTATCATAATCGGTATAACCGTTTTGAAGATTACCCAGAACAAACAGACAGCCAAAAAGTATTTGAACTGTAGTATCGTGTGAGCATGACAAAAAAAACTATTATTTTGACATTACAAACAGACGTTTTAATTTTATTTGTTGTTGGAATGTGGATTGGAAAAAAAAATCAAATGCCTCAGTATTCCCCTCACCAGTTTCAGCAGATGTATCAAGGTATCTCATTATATTTGGAAACGAACCATTTGTTTATACGACACGAACACGCTTTATATTAGCTTCACTTGTATGTTTGTATGTTTGTTTGTAACCGACTCCTTTGAGCGTGATTTTGACTGACTTTAAACGGTCAGAATTCGTTTCAAACTTGTGTAGATGTAGCGAGGACCAATGACAATACACTAATTTAAAAAAAAAAAAATAAAAGATTGCTTTTACTATTGACAACAGGCACCCAACGCTTTTTTCAAAATTTTTTTTCTATTTTTTAGTTTGGTTTTTTATGGAATCGTGTTTTTTTAGTTTTTTAAATTTTTTTTTTTTTTTTAAATTTTTTCATAAGATCAAAAAGACTGGATTTCTTATAATGGAGGTTTCTACCTCGTTACCATCGTTTTCTACCTCGTATACTCTTTTTTCATAGAATGGAATACGACCTTCAAACCTTCAAGAAAGAGCGTACTCTTTCCTCAAAGGCTGGCAACGCGCTTGTAACTCCTGAGTTGCAGGCGTTCATGGCGCGGTAGTTGCTTTCCATCAGGTGACCCGTCTGCTCGTTAGCCCTCTATTTCGGTTTTTAAAAACAAAATCCAAAAAAGTGTGGTAATCAGTATATGGTATAAAACATATTGTCATATGTTTATGTTTTATAATATTATAAAGCTGAAGAGTTTGTTTGTTTGTTTGTTTGAACGCGCTAATCTCAGGAACTACTGGTCCGATTTGAAAAATTCTTTCAGTGTTAGATAGCCCATTTATCGAGGAAGGCTATAGGCTATATATCATCACGCTAAGACCAATAGGAGCGGAGCACCAATGAAGAATGTTTCAAAAACGGAGAAAATTTATTACTATTGAGAGACGCAGACGAAGTTGCGCGGGTCAGCTAGTGTTTTATATTTGCGATGAAATTTTGTATTTCTCTTCTAAATTTTTTTTTTTAGCAAAAAAACTAACCTTCTCGCAAAATCAACTTGCACAGAATGATCAATGACCAGGTCAGCTGGACAGATAGGGTTGATTTTCTGAGGGTCTCCTCCCAGATCCTTGACAGCGTCACGCATAGCTGCGAAGTCTACTACGGCGGGTACTCCTGTAAGATCCTGGAATTAAAAGGAAATTATCAATTCTTCTTTCATCCAGTATTTGACTCGAGGAGGGGCTATTTTCTTTTCTATTTGCTGTATAAAAGACAACTCCTCATTAGGTGTCCTGTGTCGCGGAGTTTATAAACATTAATGAAACGAAGAACAATAGTTTGCGGATCAAACAAAGTGTTGTACTCCCATGTGGGGATCGAACCCACAACACACAGCGCAGTAGGAAGCGGCGAGGTGACCGCTGAAACCACTTCGCCATCCATGCAGTAACTGTTATAGAACGTAAAAGTGAGGGCCAAAAGGAGATCTGCATATAAAAATTTAGACGAAATCGTTACTAAATTAAAAACTCAGTAAGCGTATTTAAACTTAGAGAAAAAGCTGACCTACAAGGGAAAGTACCAGGCTAACAGCAAAGACGAAGTGTTATTTAAAATACCTGGGAGTATAACCCTGGCGGGTTTTAAAGAGATCTCCACTCCACCTTCGACAGTCTGGGTTTTTTCTCCCAGTCCAACACACTTTGAACATCTTTTTCCAGCACCGGGAAGTTGTCGCAGCCCTCACAACACCCCAAATACCCTCACCGGTACGGCGACGATCTTGAGAAAATAATAAATTAAATTAGCGGAAATTTCTATTCGATTCGATTTCGAATTTTTTTACTGCAATTTTTTTTCAAAAGGGAAAACATCGTTCCACGTGAACCATAGACCCCGACCCCGTTTTTTTTTCTTTTGGTTTCGTTATTGCCGGACAAGGGTTGTATAAAAAAAAAATAAAATGAACATATTTTTTTATCTGATAACATGAAAAGTGAGTGAGTGATTGACAAAACATTGACAGATTGCCGCTCATCATCAACAGCCTTTAATAGTCCACTGCTCATACACGGACATAGGCCTCTCCTTAGAAAGGAGGTTTTGGCCTACTATACCACGCTGGCCAGACGGGTTGGTATAGGGTTTGTGCCAAGTTTTCCTTCTCTCTGCAGTGCTGTTGTTCTGCGTAGTTTTTTCCCTTAGTCGGCTCTTACGACACCCACGGGATGAATAGGGGTGGTGACACTCCGTATTCTTAATCCGCCACCACACGGACCCGGTGCAAGCTATAATTATGTAAAAATGTATTGTGGTGAGAAAATAAACAATTTTTTTTTTTTATATATATGCTATAAATGCCATTTTAATCTACATTAAATGCACAACGTATTTAAAGTATTGAATTGGATAAGGGATATCTCGCTCCTATTCGCTTATGCGCGATTAAGATCTTCGTTCCAAAAATTTTCCCAAATTGCGTACGCGCATTTCTTCAAAAGGCGCCCGACACACTTTAGGTTCATTTTTATTTCTATTATCATAATTATAATAATAACATCTTATCGCGGTAATATAGCCAAGCCCTTCCTTAAGAATCAAACTATCTCCATGCCAAATTTCATCCAAAATCTTTAAGAATTTTAAGCGTGAAAGGGTAACAGATAAACAGACTATTTTCGCATTTATTTTATTAGTTTTTTTATTTTTTTTTTACACATCTCCATAGGCTTCTGACCCCAAACAGACAAGCCTGTACTATGGTAACCAACTGTTTGAAAACCCTACTTAATATACTAATTACCTACACATTATAATAAATTACACCCGACACAAACAAACTTTGTGCTCATCCACAAATTTTGTCCGGGTGAATCAAAACCCACGACCCCGGTTATCCTCGGGTCCTAAAAAAACTAAAAAAAGGCCCACCCCGACATAGATAATGGTCTTTACCATAAAATTGCCGTTTTGTATGAAATAAGTGAAAGTACTTATTTTTTCAAACTTTTTTATTTCTGTTATTCGAAGAAATACCCAGAAATCGACGCTCTTTGCCAACGCATTGGCAGTTTATTAGCCCTTTTTAAAATCACTGGACGGGGGCAACAAACTCTTCAAGGCTTTTTGTACTGCCTCTGGGGAATTTGAATTTTTTCCCACTAAAAAGTTGTCAAAATTTTTGGGAAAAAGTAATAGTGGGTAGGGTGCAAAGGTCTGGTGAGTACCAAGCAACCAGCTTTGGGGATTACTTCGATTACTTCAATAACGAAATATCGAAAAAGGGGGATTATTCGAATAAAAAGAAAAAAAAGTTTGAAAAAAAAGTACTTTCACTTTTTTCATAGAAAACGGCAATTTCATCACCAACAGCCTTTAACCGCCACTGCTGGGCATAGGCCTCTCCTTTGAAAAGGGGGTTTAGGGTACTTACCCCGTGGGCCCAAAGGGTTTGGGATAGGGTTTGTGTCAAGTTTTCCCCTTTTCTCTGCGTGCTGTTGTCCTGCGTAGTTCGCCCCCCTTGTCGCCTTTTACGACACCCACGGGATGAAAAGGGGGGTGAATCGCTGTATTCTTTTTAATTCAATTAATTTATTCAGGCAATTTTCATGGGAAGACCTATTTTTAGATTTCTTTTTTCTTCATTTTAAAATCACATAATTTAATGAATGGCCCCCCACTGACGTGCGTTAAGCCCCCTTCTATTTATACGTCACTATCGAAAATAATCAAGGCCACTCGTAAATACGATTTAATTATTTAGAATCGATAATCATAACATTTAAAAATTCAGTAGGAAATTGCTAATAAATTATTCGTGGATTTTTTATATATTAACTAGTTGAAAAAACGCGCGTTTTTTTTTGTTAAAACCCGCGGGAAACGCCGGGGGGCAAGCTAGTCAAAAAAAAATTAGCCTAAGTTACCCTTTGTCATCCTATCTGCCGTGAAAGCCCCGTCAAAATGGGTAAAACCCTTTTCCAGAGTTACCGGAAAAAAACGACAGACAGACAGACAAAAATTGAAAAAAATGCTTTTTTGGCATATGAAACCTTTTAAATTTTTTTTCCAGTTTTCCCAAGAGATTTTTCTTCGTGAATGGTAATGTCAACAATCGTTGCTCGGCGCTCCAATCGGTCTATTATTATTATTATAGTTGGAGCCCTAAAATGTCTAACAATAGTCTTTCTACAGAACCGTGTGGTGACCTATTAAGAATACAGAGTGTCACCACCCCTATTCATCCCGTGGGTGACGTAACAGCCGACTAAGGGAGAAAACTACGCAGAACAACAGCACTGCAGAGAGAAGGAAAAATTGACACAAACCCTATACCAACCCGTCTGGCCAGCGTGGTACAGTAGGCCAAAACCTTTCTAAAGAGAGGCATATGTCCAGCAGTGGACTATTAAAGACTGTTGATGATGATAGATGACGGGCCTGTTGGTCAAATGGTTAGTGTCCCTGACTGCTAAGCCGGAGGTCGTGGGTTCGATTCCCACCCAGGACAAATATTGTGTGATGAACATGATCATTTGTTCTGTGTCTGGGTGTAATTTATCTATAATATGTATGTATTTAAAAATATATAAGTATGTTTATCAGCAGTCTGGTCACCGTAGCACAGGCTCTGCCTAGTTTGGGATCAGACAGCCGTGTGTGAAATGTGTGAGGTATATTATTATTATTATAGATAAATTACACACAGACACAGGAGAAACGGTCGTGCTCACCACACAACCATGTGTCCTGAGTGGGAATCGAGCCCACGACCTAACCCAAAAAGCCCGTCAAATGTGCCGAATATAATATAATAATAATATTGTACCACATACACACAACGCCATCTAGTCCCAAACTAAGCAGAGCTTGTACTATGGGTACTAGACAACTGATATAAATACATATATACTTTTTTTGCAAATACATACTTATTATACATAGAAACACCCAGACCAAATCAAACATTAAATGTTCATGCACACAAATGCTTGACTTGAGCGGGAATCGAACCCGCGACCTTTGGAATAGCAGTCCGTTACACAAACCACTACGCCATTCGGTCGTCAAAATATGTGCAGAAACATGTCTCTCCAATGATTAAGTAAGCTAAGTTACGAATGTACTTTGTACTTAATGTAATTACATAACTCATTACAATGTTAAGTTATTTACGTCATCGTAGAGGTCAAAAACTTATTTACAAGTAAAATTCTTATATTGTTTTCCATTGACAATGACGTTTAGTTTTTTTTAATGAGGACCTTAGGTTATATTAAACACAAACTCTCTTTATTTCATAAAACTTCCAAAAATTGTTTGAAATCGTCTTTTATGTAGACTCTAAAGTCATAGATCAACACACACAAAAGCAACAATCTCTGTTCTGTCAAATAGTAAGCAAATAAATTTAACACATTATTTGTAGAGGTTAAAAGTTACAAGTGTGAATCCTTTTATAAACAAAAGATGAACCGATTTCTAACAATACTAACAAAGAGATCTCTTATTTAGGGTATTACATACCTCTGGTTTGCCTGACGTTTCGACCAGGTTGCACCGGCCGTTAAATAATATTTATTATCATGGAACGCGAAAGTTTAAAAGTTAGTACTAACAAAGAACACTAAAAACCTAGCAGCAATCGTGGTTGATTTGCTGTCATTTTTTGAAGAGTTCCGTTGTCTGTCTCCGAAACTCATCATCAGATCTATATGAAATTTAAATGGGACCATTTCGGAATAAACCCCTTTCGAACAAAGAAAGAATTTTGAAAATCCGTCCTTATATGACGGAGTTATGTCCGAACATACATAAAAAACAATTTTTTTTAAAGACAACTCCCGCATTAGGAATATATCCTGTGTCGCGGGGGACTTTACAAACATACATAAAACGGACACAAAGAACACCCAGACTCAGAACAACAATTTGTGGACCACGCAAAGTGTTGTCCGATGTGGGGTTTGAACCCACAACCCTCGGTGTAGTGGGAAGCGGCGTGGCGATCGCTGAAACCACTACGACATCCGTGTAGTCAAATAGGATAAACATCCGAATTAATAATCGCCAGCTTTTAGAGGTCGGTTGAAAAGGGAAAGGGTTTTTTTTAATTAAACGCTAGGTTTCGTATTATATAACAACTACCTGACCCGCGCAACTTCGTCTGCGTCTCTCAATGGTAATAATTTTTCTCCGTTTTTGAAACATTCTTCATTGGTGCTCCGCTCCTATTGGTCTTAGCGTGATGATATATAGCCTATAGCCTTCCTCGATAAATGGGCTATCTAACACTGAAATAATTTTTCAAATCGGACCAGTAGTTCCCGAGATTAGCGCGTTCAAACAAACAAACAAACAAACTCTTCAGCTTTATAATATTACTAGCTGACCCGCGCAACTTCGTCTGCGTCTCTCAATAGTAATAAGTTTTCTCCGTTTTTGAAACATTCTTCATTGGTGCTCCGCTCCTATTGGTCTTAGCGTGATGATATATAGCCTATAGCCTTCCTCGATAAATGGGCTATCTAACACTGAAAGAATTTTTCAAATCGGACCAGTAGTTCCTGAGATTAGCGCGTTCAAACAAACAAACTCTTCAACTTTATAATATTACTATAGATTTGTCACGTGTTTGTTTTATCTAGGCCTGTTGGTTTAGCGGTTAGTGATACTGACTGCTGTGTCACGAGATCGTGGGTTGTAATCTCACTTAAGACAAATAATTCTGTAATGAGAACGATCACTTGTTCTGTGTCTGTGACACAACCTATCGTTAGTAATTTATCTATAACTAGCTTTTTCCCGTGCCCGTGTGGTGACGGATTAAGAATACAGCGTGTCACCACCCCTATTCATCCCGTGGGTGTCGTAAGACCCGACTAAGGGAGCAAACTACGCAGTACAACAGCACCCCAAAGAAAACAAACCCTATACCAACCCGTCTGGCCAGCGTGGTATAGTAGGCCAAAACCTCCTTGCTAAGGAGAGGCCTATGTCCAGCAGTGGACTAGTAAAGGATGATGTTGATTGTGTTTTTTTTTTAAATTATTCTATCCCTACCACTTACCATATTTCTCCCCCAGGGCTGTCACATCGAAGTACTTGAACTGCTTTCCATTGACTTCGATGCCCTTCAACAGACTGCTGTAGGGGTTGTTGGTGGCTAAAACAAAAAAAATATATATAATATTGTACCACATTCACACAACGCCATCTAGTCCCAAACTAAGCAGAGCTTGTACTATGGCAACTAGACAACTGATATAAATACATATATACTTTTTTTTGTAAATACATACATATTATACATAGAAACACCCGGACCAAATCAAATATTAAATGTTCATGCACACAAATGTTTGACTTGAGCGGGATTCGACCGCGACATTTGGAATAGCAGTCCGTTACCCAAATCACTACGCCATCCGTTCGTCAGATAAAAACTATATAAGTATTAACGGCTCTCTATGCTTCTAAAGGGGGCAGTGTGAAGATAGCTCTCTTAGTAGGGGAGCCCATGATCCGACATAGCCACCGGTATCCGAGGGGATTTCCGCACGGAAAAAAAAAGGGAGCCCATGATACTAAATGCTAACTCGAGCGTCATGGGGACCTATTGCATTTGAAAGATTAGGTAATAGAATGAATAATATATATACACACTCACACACGGCCGTCTGATCCCAAACTAGGCAGAGCCTGTACTATCGTAACCAGACTGCTGATAAACATACTTATATATTTCTAAATACATACATATTATAGATAAATTACACCCAGACACAGAACAAATGACCGTGCTCATCATACAATATTTGTCCTGGATGGGAATCGAACCCACGACCTCCGGTTTAGCAGTCAGGGTCACTAACCACTAGACCAACAGGCCCGCCTAATAGTCGTATAATGTTTCCATTTTCAGGGGTGGGAAATGCTTCTACAGCTTTTCAAAACTGTAAGGGGAGGAAATTTGAAAAAAATAAATTGTAATGTGTTTTTTTTTTAACTTTGTGACCCTCCCACTGGTTTATGATACTTTCAAATCGTCTGTTTTCCTTAAATACATGCTAATGTGCATGTAATTGATACACATCATCACATCAACAGCCTTTAATAGTCCACTGCTGGACATAGGCCTCTCCTTAGAAAGGAGGTTTTGTCCTACTATACCACGCTGGCCAGACGGGTTGGTATTGATACAACTTACCTTAATCTTACACGCTCAAGTATTTTTGACCATCGTTTTTTTTTAAATTAATCTGATAGGCTGCCCTTGACGATCCCCCCTATACGTATGGCGGAGGTACTCAAATAGGTATTCCTCCTATCTTAATCTGATACGCTCGAGTAAACTCCGAATTCTTCTAGGGCTCCCCTACTATCTACTTCGGATCCTTGTGCTCTATTAATAACTTGACACATCACGGCTGTCTGATCCAAAACTACGCAGAGCCTGTACTATGGTAACCAGACTGCTGATAAACATTTTTATCAACATAACTAACCGGCGCATCAAAATCATGACAGAAATCTGCTACCCCGCATTATGAATATATCCGGTGCAGGCGTTCATGGGTGGCGATAGTCGCTTTCCATCACGCGTCTGCTTATTTGCCCCCCTCTTCCATAAAAAACCTGTGTCGCGGGGGACTTTACAAACATAGATGAAATGGACACAAAGAACACCCAGACTCAGAACAATAATATTCTACTACCAGGTAGCTGTCTATATAAGGAGAAACTTAGGCTATTTTTCCTCTCAGAAAAACCACATAAAATTTTGTCCGGTCCGTGAATCGAACCCGAGGCGTTATGGACTGCACTGCACGTGCGTACCGTATTACACCACTTAGGCAGCCCTTTTCAAATTTCACAGGTACCAGCTCGTACGATATACTCACATAACAGTCAACGTTGGATGTTTAATACTTTACTACGAAATATCTTTTATTACCTTTGTGAGATCCAGTACCGTCTTTACCATAAGGGCACACGGGGCCCTTGCCCAGGGCCCTCAAATAAAATATTGATAATGCGTATAATATAAAATGTCATTCTATAAGTGCACCAGAAGACTGTCATAATATTCTGCAGAGACATATGATAAAAATACTTACTTTGAATATTCGAAGCATTAACCGCAACTTTGATAGCTTACTGTTAGTTATGAAAAGGCTCAACATCGATCTTGATTTTATTGTCCTAACTGAGTGTTGGATAAACGAAAGTTTCACGTTACCACCTATTCAGGGTTATAGAGGCTTCCATACTACAAAATATATTAATAGGTCAGGCGGAGTAGTAGCATATGTAAGGGATATTTGGTCGCCGAGTGTATATGAACCAGATATTGATGACGCAAACTGTCTAGCTATATATGTCCCAGACATTATAACTGTGTTAGGAATCTACAGATCGCCATCATTAAAAAATATCGATCGTTTTGTTAACTCTTTGCAAAATGCTAGCCAAATTTTAAATAAAAAGCCATGCACCATTTTTACTGGCGATATCAATATAAATATATCCTATTTAGACGGCAACGATACCACAACATACCTTTGCACTATGGCTGAACTAGGCCTAGTGCCAGCTATTAATAAGCCTACTCGATATGATTCCTGCCTTGATCACGTATTCTATAAGGGAGAGGTGGATGTGGAGACTATAGTCTGCTCTTCAGCAATATCTGACCACGACCTTGTCATTACTGGTCTAACAGCAACGGCCACAACATCAACATCACCTCCAAGGTATAAATGCCTCCTTAACTACGACTCCATTTCAGAAAAGCTCAGCAATGTAGATTGGTCTAAGATGATGAAGATACAGAATGTGGCTGACCAAACAGAACATTTTATGAATATTATAAACAATATAATCAAAGACAACACTAAATTAATTAGAATAAGTCGCTCAAAGATAATTCTTAAGCCGTGGATGACGGAAGGGTTGCTAAGATGCTCACGTGTTCGTGATAAATTACACCTCGAGGCTAAACAAATGCCAAGAAACGAAGTGAAATCACTGATATATCTCAGGTATAGAAATTTTTATAACTCTCTAATTCGTAAAATACGAAATGAATATGAATGTACATTGCTGAAAAACTCGAAAAATCAACCACGACAACTCTGGCAGACTATTAATAAAATCTCGCATAGAAAAGTAGTAACGAAATCACCTGCGTCAGATCTAATACTTTTAAATTCCTGTCCGCAAGAATCCTTAAATCTTTGTAATGAATATTTTACATCGGTAGGACAAAAATACGCTAACGATATCTTAAACAATCTGAATACAACACAATCAGCTTTGGCTCAAAATATCGACACTTCACCATCTCCTCTAAACTCATTCTTCTTCGAACCAACTGATAATACAGAAATAGAACACATAATTATGAATCTAAAGAATGACAGTGCCCCAGGACTAGATGGAGTTACTAACCGACTCATAAAAAAAGTCAAGAATCATATTGTGGAACCGCTAACCTATATTATTAACCAAAGTTTATCAACCGGAATTGTTCCTCAAGAATGGAAGACTGCTGTTGTTGTACCTATACATAAAGGGGGAGAAACCAACTTGGCTAACAATTATAGACCAATTTCCTTGCTCTCTGTCTTTGCTAAGATACTAGAAAGAGTAGTCAACAAACGTGTAGTTAAGTACATTGAGAAGAACAATATTTTATCAGACAGTCAGTTCGGCTTTTGGAAAGGAAGGTCCACTGAAGACGCCGTAAATTTATTGACAAATGAAATTGTTACAAATCTAGACAATGGCCTTGCGTGTATCGGAATCTTCTTAGATCTCGCAAAGGCCTTTGATACTGTTGCAATTCCAATATTACTCAAGAGATTGGAAGGCATTGGAATAAGGGGAACCGCGCTAAACTGGTTCCGAAGTTACTTGACGGAAAGGAAACAATGTTTAAAGGTGGACTCCTTGCACAGTACCTTGCAGGAAACTTCTTTTGGAGTTCCTCAAGGGAGTGTGTTAGGCCCGACTCTATTTCTTCTGTATATAAATAACCTGACGACCTTACCACTTAGAAATGCAAAGATGATCTGCTACGCGGATGACACAGCAATAATATTTCACGATTCCACTTGGGCCAACTGTTTTGCCACGGCTGAACAAGGTATGGCGATTATAGCTAAATGGCTTCACAATAATTTATTAACTTTAAATACTAGCAAAACCAAATATTTATGCTACCACAAAACTGCAGCTTCTTCTCCAGCCTTAAGCCCAAAAATTCCAATTCACACATGTAATTTTGATCAGACTATTTGTAATTGTAATAAAATACAAAGGTCACGAAGCATTAAATATCTTGGAGTAATTCTAGATGATAAACTCTCTTACAAAGACCACATCGTGGCAACTGCAGCTAAAGCAAGGAAACTAATTTACGTTGTAAGACAACTTAGAGATGTTGCTGATTTACATTTATTAAAAACGATATATATATCATTGTGTCAATCCATCCTGACTTACTGTTTAAATATCTGGGGAGGCTCAGCTGCAACACACTTGATTATCTTAGAAAGGGCTCAGAGATCAATTTTAAAAGTTATGTTGAATAAACCGTTGAGATTCCCAACCACTGAACTCTACAAAGAAGCCAAAGTATTGAATATAAGACGATTATACATATTTCAAGCCATCATTTCCACACATAAAAACGTGTTAAACGCCCCTGATTACAATAAAATGCTCAAGCAAAGAAAGTCCCTGTTCCTAGAAACAAATCATCCTTCGCAAACCGCTTTCAGAAGTTCATGTTTCCCTTTATTTACAATAAGGTTGTCAATAGATATAATTTCAAACAGGATACAATACGGGACGCTAAACTGAAAATCAGTAAAATCATGAGCTGTCTTAACCATAAAGAAACCGAACAATTGCTAAAAATCTTAAAATAAGAATGAAAATTGACAGACAGACGAATACACATACTTAGACATGTACACACAAACACACACACAGGCTCACAAACTACCACACACACTCAACACACTCACATAGCTCCAACTTAAACTTAGTCAATTAAATAAATATAGATTGTAGTAAACTGCGATCTTTTCCTATTCTTTCATATGAGATTTATATAAGATTCTAATATTATTGCTACTGTCCTAATGTATAATCGTTTTTGTATTGATAGCCTCGATACAGGCTAAGCCTAGTGTGGCTATCTTTGTTAAACAAATTTTGTAAATCTTTACTTTAAATAAAAATTATTATTATTATTATTATTATACATAGAGCGATATTTTCGTTTATTATACCATACAATGTTTTTTCTATTTTAAATCAACATAATCCCACAAAAAAGGATTATTACACAAAAAAGGATTACCTATCGATTTATTTTCTTTTACTGTCCAACAGGGCCCCAAATTCTTGTGTGCCCGAGGGCCCTGGCATAGCCTAAGACGGCCTTGAGTACCTCGTAACAGAGTTCTGAACGAATTTTTATTACGAGAATTGACCTTTAGATAACAAGGTGTTGACGCTTATTAGTCGATATAAAATTATTAATCTGTACTCTTTATTGTACACAAAACAAAAGATTACTCAACTTACTTATTTCTACAATTATTTTCATACAATAGGCTAGTTGACTCAATTTGAAAACTTGGTTAATTATTTACTTTAATATCTATTTTATCCCATATACAATACATATTTTGTATTAAAAAAAAACAATTTAAATTTCCCTCGAAAACGCGGAATAGTGTCATGGCGTCTTAAATGACGTCACAGTCTGCGAAATAAAACTGTTTACATCTGTGTCCAGTGTCCACTGAAACTGTATTAAGGTGAGAAAATATGCTAAAAACGAAAAACAATAAGGAGTAACCTGGGCCTCAATTCTGCTATTTTATGTTCACGCCAAGCCACTGTCATACCACTGACACGCTATTGAGATGCCATCGAGTGACCATTGGCATCGGTATAAATATCGGTAGTCTACACTAACTCACTGTCTTTACAGTGGCGATGGAATGGCAGTGGCTCATACATGGTGATATCAAAAAGATTGCCAATAAATCATTTCCTCAAAAAAAAAAGTAATATATTTTCAAATTATATGGAGCAGTGCACTTGTATTTCTTGAGTTGAAGATGTCTATGGACAGCGATAGTCACTTACCATCAGGTGACCTGTTTGAGAAACTAAATAACTTTACTAGAGTTGACTAAAATTGCTTTTTTTAAAATCCGTACTAATATTATAAATGCGAGAGTGTTTCTGTCTATTACCTCTTCATGCTTAAACCCGTGAACCTGGTATTTTACTGGGGCTTTTTTATGGAAGATGGGGCAAACGAACAGACAAGTCACCTGATGGAAATCGACAACCGGCGCTATCTATGTATAAATATATGTATATCGTGTGTATTGTATATTTATGTATATTGTATGTGTATTATGTGTAAATATTTATTTAATTTTACCTCCTTTATGTTCATTAGTAATTAACCTATCAAAACTCATTGCACCTTGAATTATGTATTAAAAAATTTAAAGTAAATAAAATATGTTTTCTTTACGTTATTTAAACTGAGTCCAATCGGAACCATTAATATTATCCTACTCAATATCCTTGATACGGTTTCCTGCACGTTTATTGCTATTAAAATATAACCTATAATTTTTGTTCAACTTCATCCTTTCTTGTACTTTTTCTTAGCTATTAACAATATAGACTATAAAAATAACCAAAAAGGCGCGAAAATAGTACAACATTAATTCAATAACATATATTAATCTATGCTGGTAAGCATTTTTTTCATAAACCAAAAAAAGGTATGTCTTTAATCTATTGATTACGAAAAAAACATACATTGATTCTTTTTTATAAAAAATATACTTGAATCTTAATAATTTTCAGGTACAAAGGTTAGTTAATTAACATATTTTTGTTACACACCAATTTAGGTAAACATTTATGCATATAGTAAGATATGTTCGTAAAGTTCAAAGTGACACTTATCACTGCAAAATACTAATCAAACAGCACTTAAGATTGTTTGCTTAAAAATAATATAAGCTAGCTGATAGATAATGTACAAAAAAACAGAAGCCGTAAAAAAATTATGGTCCCGAATGATTAGCGGACCGTTTCAAAGCTTTAACGAGATGTATTAGTTTTTAAATTGTTATTTCATTAACAGGTTATATTTCCATATTTCTCTATGACTAGGATTTTTAAATAACTATTGCAATGAAGCAATAGTTATTTAAGCAGTTCTATTCTTGTTTCATTAAACATCATTTTAGTTACACAATTTGTATTCAAGATTCTCAAAAAAGTTTTTTTTTTAAAGTAAACACACACCTGCCATGACGTGGAGCCTTGTACAGCTGTCAATTTTTTATACACTAGGGAGAGCAAAACAACAGGACGTAGAATAGAACTGTAGAATGTTAGAGGAATTGGGATTAATTCCAATTAGTTTCTACGTCACGACGCGCGATCACTGTCACCAAATCGCTAGATGTACCACCTTGCCACCAACTTGACTGAAACTTTCAAACTTCTAACAATGACACTGACATAATAACTCAGCATGACAGGAAGGTAGTATTACTAGATGTATTTTTACAAATAATCCTACCAAATAAATTAATTTGAAATTGCCCATTCACAGCACAATGTATAATTGTTATGTAATATAAATTTATTAAAATAAAAAAAAAGGTTACATAGAAAGTAATACACCTTTACAATTTGCGAAGTGTGCTTTCGGAATGGGTGATAATAATGGAAACTATCCTTTCAAGGCTCGCGCATACCACAGCCGCGCCGGGCCACAGCGAAATCAGTGAATCGTTGTCAACGCCTTAACTAGTATGTACCTGCCGACGTAAATGGAGACATGCAAAAGGCCTAACAAGCGATTCGGCTGCATTGCGGCCTGCCATAATGTGGGCTAGCCTTCATTCTCCCAAAAGAAAATCTTACGTCTCTTCAGTAAATACCTAAGCTCTTGGAAAGATAATGACGAAATCACTAACGATCATTTAGTCTCAATTGGGCTAAGCATGTACTATGGTGACTAGGCTCAAATAAACATACCTACTTATTGTGAGATTGACGAATGCCGCCATCACGGCAGAACGTTTCTCATTGAAAAAAGACCCCCGTCAGTTGAAACTAGTCTCCCATCTAGCATCAAGCTTATATAGTTGTGGGTGGGAAGTATTCTCAAAGCATAACCACCATTAAAAATCTAACTGGATTCCAAAATATATTCTTATTGTTCTTTCATGGTTGACAACGTGAATTTTCTAAATCTATACTAATATTATAAAGCTGAAGAGTTTGTTTGTTTGTTTGTTTGTTTGTTTGTTTGAACGCGCTAATCTCAGGAACTACTGGTCCGATTTGAAAAATTCTTTCAGTGTTAGATAGCCCATTTATCGAGGAAGGCTATAGGCTATATATCATCACGCTAAGACCAATAGGAGCGGAGCACCAATGAAGAATGTTTAAAAAACGGAGAAAATTTACTACTATTGAGAGACGCAGACGAAGTTGCGCGGGTCAGCTAGTATCTATATATATATAGGGACAAACGTGATGTAATTAGTGATTTGATGATTTGCCAAAATGATTTCGAACGAAATTGATGGCCCAGAACTATTACAAAAGCTTAAATTTAACGTTCCTTCCAGATATGTTAGGCATAACCCTTCAATTTCAATCCCCCATCATCTTCAAATTATAAAAAGAATTCTTATATGGTGCTATCAAGTAGAGATTTCAACATATTATGCAAAGAATATGATTTGGATCCTTACACCATAAAAAGTGACACGGCCACTAAAGTGTTAAAACACAATTTCTTTGGAAATTATCTTACACAAACGAACCGTAATAATTATATTTGTATACCAAGTTCGTGCATTGAGTGTTCTTGATGTTATATCGATAATGCTGTTTTCTTACTCGTAAAAACCTGTAATTGGCTTTCTGTTACCCATTGTTTTGCATAAAGTTGTGACTCATAGCTATTGGTTTTCCTTAAATAAAATAAATAAATAGATAAGGCTAATATTATGAGAATTGTGAATAATTTCTCGCTTCTATTTTCTTCTATTCGTACTTTTTAATGCATAATTTCTCCCAATAACGAAAGAACATTAATGAAACGTTCCAGGTTTAAGTCTCTCATAAACTAAGGCATTTAAAATCCACGTAACTTTTTCTTAATTCATATGTTAAACAAAGATAGAAACGTAATGCTTAAAATAGAATATTTGTGTTGCGCTTGGATACCGAAGCCGAACGCCAAAGACGAAAAATTGAAAAAAGTCCGTTGATTGTGGTTATTTACGTGTTTTGTTAAAAATTTTATTTATTTATACTTGTGGAGTGTAAGAAATGTCGTCATTCGATTTGAACTCAATAAATGCAGCGCTAACCGATCCCGGTAGCACTATTAATGGCGTGGATTTTTCTGGAAAATCGTTAAAATTGGACACTGCGCATGATGGTATTTACATAGTTAATAATTTTCTTATTTTTATACTTTCTTTATGCTGTTTAAACTGAGCCTAATCAGAACTATTAATATAAACGTACTCAATATCCTAGATATGGTGTTCTGTATGTTTATTGCTATTAAAACATAACCTATAATTTTGTTCCATTTCATCTTTTCTGGTACTTTTTCGTATGTTTTACATGTAGACTATAAAAATAACCAAAAAGAGCGCGAAAAGAGTACAACATTAAGTCTATCACATATATTCATCTATACTGATAGTGTAACATTGTAACAATTTACCGCCAAAGCCTATTTTCATTAGAAGAATACAGAAAATAGATATAAATGGAAAATGAAAGTAATAAAGTATGCGTAAAAGAATGCAATTTATATCTTTTTGTATTTGTGTTAGGAATAGGAAAATAATACCCTTGATATACATAATTTTGTTTTGATATCTATAGGTCTATGATTAGGTACAAGCAAATTATACCTAGTCAGCGGTACTAATTCTGTTGTTCGAAAACTCTAAACTAAGTCACTAAAAATTTGTTTAGTTCTGTCAAACAATATTTCTTATTCAGAAAACGTAATATTTGACAGGACAATAACTTTTTTAGTGATTTTTAGTTTAGTTTTAGTTGATGGTCTGTGTCCGTGTGGTGATGGATTAAGAATACAGAGTGTCACCACCCCTATTCATCCCGTGGGTGTCGTAAGAGGTGACTAAAGGAGAAAACTACGCAGGACAACAACACTGCAGAGAGAAGGAAAACTTGAAACAAACCCTAAACCAACCCGTCTGGCCAGCGTGGTATAGTAGGCCAAAACCTCCTTTCTAAGGGGAGGCCTATGTCCAGCAGTGGACTATTAAAGGCTGTTGATGATGATGGTCTCTACAACCTCTGCTCCTTAAAACTAATGTACTTACACTCCCATCTCTTTTATATAGTTCTTAATCGTAACTCCCAAGTCCTATTTGGTATGCTGGTTTTTACTTATCCTGTCAAAAAACCGATTAAAGATTGAAGGAGGGTTGTCAGGTCGGCGGCAATGAAAAAAAAACCCCTTTGCCATGTTATGCATTGTAAAACAACTCGAAATAAATTTTGCATAGATGCATCCGCATTCAACCAAACAAACTCTTTATACCAAACAGCGTTATAATCTTATATATAAAATTCTCGTGTCACAATGTTAGTTACCATACTCCTCCGAAACAACTGGATGGATTTTTATGAAATTTTGTGTGTACATTGGGTAGGTCTGAGAATCAGCCAACATCTATTTTTCATACCCCTAAATGACAAAGGTGACCCATCCCTATTTTTTTTTTTTTAATTTCCTAAAAACAAATGTTTGCCACATACATTATATGTGGCAAACCATTTGTTTGCCTGGTCAGCTAGTATTAGTATAGAAAGGCTGGGAAATTGAAAGCGCTGCCTTAGTGGGTTCGATTTCCATATTTTATAGGGTTTATCTGAAAAAAAGTAGCTTAAGTTCTTATATAGACAGCTACCTGGTAGTACAATATTATCAGAATCCGTCCAGCCCTTTTGAAGATTACCCGGAACAACTAGACAAAAAATATTTTTACTGGTTTTTAGGCATAGAATCATGCAAATAACCATGTTAACATGAAAAAACCTATTATTTTGACATTACAAACAGACACTTCAATTTTATTTATTTGTGTAGATAAAGAATAAGAGACAATTCTATATTACAGCACAACCTATTGTTGAAGCTATCAATGCATGTCCGGAACTCCACTACCTTACCCTCACGGGTAACACCCTTGGAGTATCAGCAGCCGAGGCTATTGCCAAATCGTTAGAACAACACCCTGAACTGAAGATTGCTAGATTCTCGGATATGTTCACTGGACGCATGAAGACAGAGATACCTCCTGCTTTGGTAAGCTTATTGTGCCCATCCATGTTTTGACAGATTTAGAATACAGTGTCACCACCCTTATTCATCCGTTGGGTGTCGTAAGAGCCGGGAGCAGACAACGCCGAAAAACAAAATTGCTAAGAGAAGGGAAACTTCCTTCTCTTAGCAATTTTGGAGGTATCGTAGACTAAAACTTTTCTGGGAGGAGTCCGGGATGTCCAGCAGTGGACTATTAAAGGCTGTTGATGATGACTTTACCCAATGGGAACAAGGTGACAGTACTCTGGAAAGTTTTTAAGGTTATAGACTGATTAATGGTTTCCGAAAATTCTTGAGCCTTTTGCCCAAACTAGGTCAGCCCAAAATATCGAATTTTACCTGAAGCAACTACCATCAGATGTTCACAACACTAGTACGAGGCGATATTGAAGTTCTGTAAAATGACTGTTGGCTTTTTTAGGGCTCCAACTACACAGCGACACTACGACAGCTTAATGTGTTCTCCGAAACACGGGTCTCAATGTGTTCATAATGCTCACCCATCCATTGACTGACCTGGCTAGGATTGCTTAACTTTGTCAATTGCAAAGTGTGTAACCACTCGATTACCACCTAACCCTGATGGCTTTCAAATAAATATTCATACATATATTTTCAATTTCAGGCTGCGCTCGGTGATGGAATGATAACTGCGGGTGCCCGTCTCAGAGTTCTAGATCTGAGTGATAATGCATTTGGACCGATAGGAGTCGAGGGTCTTGCCAAACTGTTGCAGAGTGACGTATGCAGTGAATTAGAGGTGAGAAATTATTAAGGGTGCTATAATGCAAGCGAACTATCAGTTTAGCAATTCGTTCATTGCTTTTAACCCCACTTTCCCCTAATTCTGAGGTGGGCACACTCAAAACCTATGCTTCTACCGAGAAAAAACAATAATAATATATTTTATATGCCGTTTCTAGAACTAATCTGGGTGATTATGCTACTGAGCCAAGAATTTGTAGGCTATATATTTTTTTTTTATGTGAGAGGGGGCAGACCTGCAGACGGGTCACCTGATGGAAAGTAACCATCGCCGCCCATGAACGTCTGCAACTCAGGAGTCACAAACGGGTTGCCAGGCCTTTTAGGAAGGAGTGTGCTCTTTTCGTGAAGGGTTGAAGGATATTGAATCCTTACCTCGATTTTTAGGGTTCCGTACCTCAAAAGGTAAAAAAGGAACCCTTATAAGATCACTTTCTTGTCCGTCGGTCCGTGTGTCACCACCGATTTACTCAGGAACGGGTAGACCTAGCAAGTTGAAATTTATACCCGATACTGATATCTATAGTCCCTATTAGGTGTATAAAAATCAAGGTCCTTAGTCTACACGATAAAAAGATATGGGCAAATTTTGATTTTCGCGAAAACTTGCAAGTACCAAAATTTTAATTAATTTTCAACTTTTTTATTTTTCAGAATTTTCACTTTAATTGTGCTGTAAGACCTTGCTTTTAACCAAAATTGACAATTATAGGTCAACAGGAAGTACGCTATAGGTTTTGGGTCGAAAACCTATATGGTAGTTCCCGTTGACCTAGAATCACGAAATTTGGCAAAATGAAATCACTTACAGCACAAATAAAGGAATAATTCCAAAAATAAAAAAGTTCAAAATTAAGATAAATTTTGGTACTTACAAATTTCGCGAAATACTACGTAAAATCTGAGTAGGTACGGAACCCTCGGCGCACGAGTTCGACTCGTACCTGACCGGTTTTTTTGTTTCTTTCTAAGGAGAAGGCTATGTCCAGCAGAGGACTATTAAAGGCTGTCGATGTCGATGGTGTAATTTATGCGTTCTGTCTCATGAGTTATACCGGTAACCGGCCTGCTTGTTTGCCTCCTGTATAAAAAAAAATGAAATTCAATATAACTAATACCAGAACATCGAAAATACCAAATAGGAGTTCAAATTTGGACACGAAATGTAAACCGTTTCAAAGATTATTTTTATCTATTTTTCGCGTCGTTCCTCTCATCAGCGCAACCAAAATGTGCCACAGCGAAGCATTGTGGGGTACAGCTGGTAAACTGGTTACACAATTAAATTGTTCTTTGTTACAGGAACTGCGGTTAAACAATAATGGTTTAGGCATCACCGGAGGACGTCTGCTGGCGAACGCATTGTCAGCAAGACCTCGAAAGTTGAAGATATTTGTAGCTGGACGGAACAGACTGGAGAACGATGGGGCTACGGCACTCGCCAAAGTATTTCAGGTAATATTTTTGTGTATATTACGCGGTATCTTGTGAATGTGGTCCCGAACTACTGGAAGGTAGCGTTTGTGCACCGGATCCCTTAAAAAGGTGACCGTACTGACCCGTCCAACTACAGGCCTATACCCATAACTCCCTTGTACTTTAAGATTATGGAAACCATAATCAACTGCCAGCTCCTCTGGTACTTAGATGCTTATCAATTACTCCATGAACGATAATATGGCTATCGCTCAGCTGATGATCTTCTCGTCTTTCTAACACAGCGGTGGGCACAGGCATCGAGACCAAGGGAGAGGCTTGTATGGTTGGTATGGACCTTGAGAAGGCCATCGATGAGGTCTGGCATAAGGCGCTTCTCCCGAAGCTCCCTTCCTAAGGGCTTCTCGAGAAATTATGCAACTGTGACACCAGTTTCCTTGCGGACAGAAGCGTTAAGGTCGTTGTCGCCAGTGCATGCTCCGACTTGAAATCCGTCTGCTATCCTGCAATGCTGTGTGCTATCACCCACACTGTTTTTTCTGCAATGATATGTTGCAAACTAGTAGCATCCATTGCTATGCAGATGATAGCACAGGAGGATGCCCTTTATACCGGCCGCCATAATATTTCTCGGGAAAACGTCATCGAGAGTCGAAACAAACTTGTGTCTGAAATTGAAACTTCCTTAGCGGGTTTCAGATTGGGTCAAACTAAATCTAGTTCACTTTAACCCAAAAAGACAGCTCTGTGCTTTCACCCCAAAGAAGAAACCATTTGTCTTTTCACGTCGGTTTAAGAGCACCTCCTTAACTGCCTCAGCCTGAATCGGAATCCTCGGCATCCTCGGAGGCATCGACATATCGAGCGAATCCTAGTTTCGTGGTCACTTAGAGGGGAAGGTAAAATTGGCCTCAAAGAAGCTCGGTGTGCTGAACAGACCGAGGCAGTATTTCACTCCGGCCCACCGCCTTCATCTCTATAAGGCGCAAGTCTGGCCGCATATGGAATACTGCTCTCATCTCTGATCGCATCCAACAAAGAGCGACTCCAATAGATAGTCGATAGCCCAAAGATCTCCGTTCGGCTCGATCCCTTGGCGTTGTGTAGAGATGTAGCTTCGCTCTGCGTTCACCATCGTATACATATATCATGGAAAGTGCTCCGAGGAATTGTTCCGACTAATATCAGCCGCAATTTTCATCCTTATTACCTGGATAGTTGGCGCTCCACCACTGTGCGCTTTTCAAGACACTTTTTGCCCCGCACTACCAATCTGTGAAACAAGTTATCGTCTGCGGTATTTCGACCATAGGAACTTTTTAATTTAACAAGATAAATTCATTAAGTTTGGGCTCAATTGATTGGTCTTGAAAAGTACTTTTTTAACCATAAAAAAAACTTATTACAATAAAATAAAACTTAGTTTATAAATAAAAGCTTGTTAAACTTCATTTATTTATTTTATATACACAGAATATGGGAACTTTAGAAGAAGTAGCCATGCCACAGAACGGTATATACCATGTTGGTATAACAGCTCTGTCGGAGGCTCTGAAGAAGAATACTCAGCTGGCAAGGTTGAACCTTAACGACAATACTGTAGGGTCGAAAGGAGCTTGTGCCATCGCTGGAGCGTTGTCTAAGTAAGTATTTTATTGGTAGTTCATAGAAATACAAATATTCTGAAGTTCTTTTTTTAAAAAAAAAGACATCCCGCAGTTGGAATATATCTATACTAATATTATAAAGCTGAAGAGTTTGTTTGTTTGTTTGTTTGAACGCGCTAATCTCAGGAACTACTGGTCCGATTTGAAAAATTCTTTCAGTGTTAGATAGCCCATTTATCGAGGAATGCTATAGGCTATATATCATCACGCTAAGGCCAATAGGAGCGGAGAACCAATGAAGAATGTTTCGAAAACGGAGAAAAACTATTACTATTGAGAGACGCAGACGAAGTTGCGCGGGTCAGCTAGTTGTTTATAAACATACATGAAATGGACATAAAGAACACCCAGACTCAGAACAACAATTTGTGAATCATACAAAGTGGCACTGTTTGTCTAGTGGTTAGTGACCCTGACTGCTAAGCCGGGGGTTGTGGGTTCGATTCCCACCCAGGATAAATATTGTGTGATGAGCATGATCATTAGGTCTGTGGGTGTAATTAAGCTACAATATGGATGTATTAAGTAATATATAAATAAGTTTATCAGCAGTCTGGTTACCATAGCACAGGCTCTGCCTAGTTTGGGATCAGACCGCTGTGTGTGAGATATATTATTATACAAAGTGTTGTCCCATGTGAGGATCGAAGCCACAAACCTCAGCACGGTGGGAAGTGGCGAGGCGACCGCTTAAACCACTACGCATTCTGTACAATCATTGTACAAAATTGTACCTAAGTAGAAAAACAAGATTCATTCTTATTGGTATGAATTTTGAATAGGTAGATGAAAATGTTAATAAAACTTTATATTGATCTCCCACCTAATGGTCACGGTACAATTATAATACAGTACTCCAACTTCATACAAACGGACGAAACACGAGCTATACCTACGCGCCTCGATCTCGGGGTGCGCTCGGGGCGCAGACAGTCACGGCTGTACCGCAGTGTCGAACGGACGGTGTGTTGTTTTTTTTAACAATAACCGCGCAATTTTTTTTTCTCTAAAAATCAGTTAATATGACGAGTAGGAAATATAGTGCTGTTTTTGGTTGTATGAATTCGTCAATAACGCATCCAGACATAAGGTTTTTTTAAATTACCTGGAAACTCTGAAAGGTAAGACTATAAAATAATTTTACTTACTAGTAGGTAGGTACATAATGTGTGTCTTTTTTATGGATAAGTATTTCCTTTTATCTTACGAAAAGAAAGGTGTTTGGATTAATTAATAAAGCGAATAGAGTAACGGAAAGTTATTGAGAAATAGGTAGTTATATGAGGTTCTGAATGAATCATGATACGGTAGGTACCTACCTACTTACGCTTGTGTTAAAACTTCGGTGCATGTGTGTTTTGTTACTTTGCATAATTCAAAGTAAAGACGTGATATTTTATTTTTAATAATATTTGTTTATTATCTGTGTGTATGAATAATACTAGAAAAAAAAATTACCGTCTGTGTGTCATTAGATAGTTTTCGAAATTTTCACAAAGTGTTTCTGCTGCTACTATAACAACATAATACCACTAAAAACTCCTCCAATGCAGAAAGAAAATAAAATAATTAAATCTACCAATCAAAAAACAACACGCATTTTTATTGAACACTTCCTATTCAATATACAAAGTATTTCATTTATTTATATAAAAAGAATATTTACAATCACAAATCTAAATAGAAACATAAAGTAGGCAAATATAATTAAAATGCTGGAGACGGGCAGCCCTAACGCATGTTTACGTACCGCGCGGCTGTAGGCATTTATTTCTATCATGCGGCCGAGTTACACTACTGTATTATAATAGTACCGTGTAATGGTGGTGGTTATTTTTACCTAGCTGTACCCCGCCACCATTCGCTGTGGCACATTATGGTTGTACTGTTGAGCAATGAGGAATAAACTGACGCGAAAAATCGATAAAAACCATCTTTACTGCGGGTTGTATATCGTGTCAAAATATGAGCACAGTAGGCACAGAACTCACCACCTCTATTCATCCCGTGGGTGGCGTAAGAGCCGATTAAAGGAGCAAACTACGCAGGATAACAGCACTGCAATGACTATGCCAACTGACAGCTCACCTTAGTAGGCCAAAACCTCCTTTCTAAGGAGAGGCTTATGTCCAGCAGTGGACTGTTATAGGCTCAGAGACAGATGCAGCACTTTTTAAGGATAAGAAAAACATCATTTTTCTTTTACATTGTGTACTTAAAAATTAATAACAATGCTTGAAAAATAAATAATACTTGGAAGACAAAATGGTCTTTGCTCAGAGTGTGGATGACAGTTAGAGGATTCGATCCCGGTCGATTTTTATAATCCCGGGATTTCGGGATTATCTACAGTTAATCTCGGGATCACAAAATATTTTTTTTGTTTATCATTTAGTTTTGTGGGGACATAGAATATTTAAGTTTTAAATCTCCAAAAAGGCGGTTAAACAAAATTATACTTTCTTCTTATAAAATAAACAAACTAGTGCCTATTTTGTTTTGTGTTTCAGTAAATAATTTATGAAACTAACAATAAACTTAAAAAAATCAACTTCTTTAGACTTATTTAGATAAACTATAAAAAAAAAAACTATATGCTTAAGAGACCAATGTTTATAAATACCTACTCATATTTTTTAATTAAATTGCCCAGAAACTTTATAAATTACACACTTTTACGCATAATCCAGAACCGGTCATTAGCAAAAACAAATGAAATCAGCTGTGTAGACAAGATGGCTGTCAAAAAATCAAATCAAGGCAAGGGCGTTTCTTTTTACGCACATTTTTATTGACTTATGTAAAAAATGTATCAATCCCGAAAATCCCGGGATTCATTAAATTTGATTCCGAAAATTTCGGGACTAAAATATGACCGGGATCCCGGGATCGAATACTCTAAATTGACAGTGCAAAGCATGCATGTATGAGTTTTCTAAGCATACACAAACCATTTGACAGCCGGATGGCGTAGTGGTTTGTGAAACGGACTGCTGTCGCGGGTTCGATTCCCGCTCAAGTCAAACAATTTGTGTGCATGAACATTTGATGTTTGATTTGGTCTGGGTGTTTCTATGTATAATATGTATGTATTTACAAAAAAAGAAAAAGTATATATGTATTTATATCAGTTGTCTAGTACCCATAGTACAAGCTCTGCTTAGTTTGGGACTAGATGGTGTCGTGTGTATGTGGTAGAATATTAGTATTATTATATTACTAGCTGACCCGGCAGACTTCGTACTGCCTCAATTGATAAATAAAAGACCTAAACTTTTGTATAAAATAAACAAACAAAAGGAATCCTTTTTTTATGAAAACAATTAAAAAATGCTCGGAATTAAAAAAAAAATCGAGCATTTTCATATTTATTCACCTTTTAAACCTTCTCTGGACTTCCACAAATAATTCAAGACCAAAATTAGCCAAATCGGTCCAGCTGTTCTTGAGTTTTAGCGAGACTAACGAACAGCAATTCATTTATATATATATATATAGAGATAGAGATTATTTTTACACATATAAGATTTATGTTTGTTTCAGTTTGCCTAATCTGAAATGTATTAACTTCGGAGATTGCCTACTCAAAAGTAAAGGTGCGAAAGCATTAGCGAAGGCCTTCAAAGACAACTCTCTCCTACTTGAGGTAAGCACGCAATAGGCTTGTGTCCACTAATAACAAATTGCTTGGTTTATAGTTTCAAATTATAAATGAAGGGACATAGATAAGAAAAAACCAGTCTATTTCTCATAAAAGTTAAAGATTATTTTTCTAAAAAAAATAAATTCGAATAAAATAGGCATTAAGTCACGTGACAGCGAACACCAATCAGAAAGTGGTACGTCACGCCACGCAAAACATCATTGTTGTTGTTGACGTTTTCGTACAACAGAGCTGGTTACACCTTATTCCTTATTCATTTTTAGAAAACAGTTGACACTGGACACAGATGTAACCAGTTTTCTGAGGAGAGGTCTATGACCAGCAGTGACCTACTAGAGGCTCATGATGAGAGGATCATGATGATTGATGAAAAACTTTATTAATTATCCATCAGTCTCTACAACTATAAATCTATCCAAATCTATATCTATAAAACTGTCCAACAAAACATCAATTCCTCCGTCCATCCATACATCCCTTAATCCTTACGTCAGTCAGTTCAGTCTCCCAAGTTTTCCTCAGCAAAAGCCATCTTAAAGCTCATACAAAACCCTTTTTTCCTGGACTGTATAAGTATTAGTCACTGGTTCATATCCGGCTCGAAGGACCACACGCCCAGCATGTATGATAAAAATACAAGCTGGAATTTTGAGTAGACTATTTTCCAATATTGTATTATAGTAAACGGTACAATTTAAGGGGTAAAAAAATGTTGCCAGATTTAATTACATTAAAATTATTGCCAGACTAGGTTTCAATTACATCGATTTTTTATGTTTACAACATTTTAAAATATTTTTTTTTATTTTCCAGTCCCTGGACCTCAGCCACAATGAGATAGGCAGGGATGCTTGCATGGAGGTAGTTGACGCCCTCACGGCTTTACCGGACAGCTATGACAGACTGAGCCGTGTTGTCCTAGCTGGTAAGTGTGTTGCAGTTTTTACCTGGACCATTAGGTCTAGAGGATAGTGAACCAGACTGTTTTGCCAGCGGTAGATTCCTGGGCCTCAATTCTGCTATTTTATGTACATGCCAAGCCACTGTCAGAGTGGCCATTGGCATCGGTATAAATATCGGTAGTCTACACTAACTCAGTGTCTTAACAGTGGCGATGGAATGGCAGTGGCTCATCATCGGTGATATTAAAAAAATTGCCATATTTCAAAAAATAAATAAATCATTTCCTCAAAAAAATCTAATATATTTTCAATTTATAAGGATGTCATTCCATCGCCACTGTAAAGACCCTGAGTTAGTGTAGACTACCGATATTTATACCGATGCCAATGGCCACTCGATGGCATCTCAATAGCGTGCCAGTGGCATGACAGTGGCTTGGCGTGAACATAAAATAGCAGAATTGAGGCCCTGTTTTACCAGCAGTAGAAGTAGTTGTAGTGGAACATACAGAACAAATAATTGCGTGATGAGTATGATCATTAATACCGTGCCTGGGTGTAATTTATACATGTAAAACTTATTTTTCTTAACTTTTCTTAAAAAAGACAACTCCCTCATTAGGAATATATCCTGTGTCGCGGGGGACTTTACAAACATACATGAAACGGACACAAAGAACACCCAGACTCAGAACAACAATTTGTGGATCACACAAAGTGCTGTTCCATGTGGGGATAACACTCAGCTCAGCAGGAAGCGACGAAGTGATAATATAAAAAAAATATAATTTAAAAAATTATAGTTTTAAAAAACTAAAAAACATGCTTTCTATAGAAAACCAAACTAAAAAATAGAAAATAAATTTAAAAAAAAAGCCTTGCCTGTTGTCAATAGTAAAAAGCACCCCACGCTTTTTTTCAAATTATTTTCTATTTTTTAGTTTAGTTTCTATAGAAAGCGTGTTTTTTAGTTTTTTAAAACTATTTTTTTTTAATTTACTGTATTGTCATTGGTCCTCGATATATCTACAAAGTTTAAACGAGGTCTGACTGTTTGAAGTCAGTCAAAATCAAACCAAAAGGGTCGGTTACAAACATACAAACAAATATACAAGTGAAGCTAATATAAAGCGTGTAATAATAAACCACTACGCCATCCGTGCAGTCTATCAATAAACTATAATTTTGATATTTCAGGTAATAGTTTAGGGGGTGCGTCCGACAAAAAGACGATGAAAGATAAACTTGGTGCTTCAGCTGAACTCAGTGATGGAGAAGAAAGCGATGATGAATGTAAGTAATTAAAACATCTGTCACGATTTTTACAAGCAAACGAGAAACATGGTACAGCGCCATCTAACGACGGCACATCGAATTACGTAGTAACCGCTAAACCTGAATCGCGCAATGAAAATCGTCGCACTGATTTATATAAATTACTAGCTACGAACGAATAAATTTTCAAAAAGGGTTACAGTGAAATTAGTCTCGAGAAATTTTTGCATATGTAGTGGTGTGTATATTACTCAGATCTTAGAGCAGCTTACATTACTATTTAATTTTATACTTATCCCTAGCAACACTGATTTTTGTTTTCAATAAAAACAAGTTTTTATTTTAAAGAAAAAGGTTTTGACTTTATAAAAAAAAAAGGTGTGTGCGATTCACACACGATAGAAGTGAAACTTCAAAGAGGAGAGACCGATATTTAAATTTTTTTTTTTCCCTTTCATCTAGGTTTTTAAAACTCCGGGGGGTCTACAGGGCTGTCAAAATTTTTGTTATTTTTGGCCTAGGACGCACCGTTTCCGAGATATTTCAATCTAAAGCAAAAAATCGTCACTTGATAGTGGAAAGTGGAAACACGCACAAAACCAGAATAAACCAGTTTACGCTGTCCGTACCATACACTACTACAAACGCAAAAATTTCTCCAAGCTAATTTACCTGTACTATGGGTTATCCTAAGTAGATAAACATATACCATAGCGGACTTTTTTTGCAGCATCTTTTCAAGATATACAATTTCGTAGTACATTATTTTGGTCTATCTCGTAAGGTTCAGCCAGCGTTTGCAATGTAAGCGCACAAATCTTTGAAGTTCTCGGATTTACTCTGCAATAATATGCATGTATACAAATAAATAAAATTGGAGTGTCTGTTTGTAATATTAAAATAACCGCTTTTTAGTAAATGCATATGTATGTTTACACGGTACATATGCCAAAATATATTTTTTTACAATTTTTGTCTGTCTGTCTGTTTGTTCCGGGTAATCTCTAGAACGGCTGGACCGATTTCGACGGGACTTTCACTGGCAGTTAGCTGATGACATAAGGAGTAACTTAGGCTACTTTTTTTAGACTAGCTTCGCCCCGCGGCGTTGCCCGCGGTTATAACAACAAACGCGGGTAACACCGCGGGTCTCAGCTAGTTATACATATAAACCTTTCTCTTAAATCACTCTTTCTATTGGTGAAAACCGCGTTAAAATCCGTTGCTTAGTTTAAAAGATCAAAGCAAGTGCGTGCGTACTATAGCAGAAAGATAAATCGATTTAGCGGTTTAGGTGTGAAAGCGTAACAAACAAACAAACTCACATTGGTAATATAAGTTTGATAGTTATCGTTTGCGGTATTTCCGGACCGATACGACCTTCAAACCTTCAAGATAAGAGCGTACTCCTTTCTAAAAGCCCGGCAACGCGTTTGTGACTCATGATTTGCAAGTCCAGACGTTCATGGTCGGCGGTAGTCACTTTCCATCAGGTGAACCGTCTGCTCGACTGCCCCCTCTAACATAAAAAAGCTACCAACTCTTAAACGAAGAGACATTTATACTTCTGACATATGGGCCAGGTTCGACCGGTTACAGTAAGCACTACAAAACAGAAAACCGGTGTTAAACTATTCTTTCTTTGATTTTCACCAAGTGAGTGAACGAATCGTAAATAATCCCCCCCCCCCCTCTCTCCTCTCTACTCCACTGGGAGGACACTCATAAGGCGGCAACGCACTTTCGCTTGAGTTACAATTGTCGCACTCCGTTTCGGGTACAAGTAGCCGGGGAACCAGGAGTACCCTAGGAAGGAAATCCCTGGTACTGCGACGGACCCCGGGCCCTCTACGGCTTGTAGATGACCCCCTAATGGTCACGCGCGCTCCTAAGCGCTTCGCACCGCCAACCCGGCCAACTTCTGCTGAGGTGACATATGAACTCACCTGTCACCGCCAGGCCTGCGCCTATGGAGGACGAAGGTCGTTCTGCCGCCTCCGGCGCCTGAGCCGTCTGCGGTACCTGGCCCGTTCCCAGGTCTGGCTAATCGGGAGAGTTCTAAATCTCTCCCGATCCCGCTCCGCCGTCTCCTTCGCAAGCATAACTTGCTCACAGAAGGAGACGGCGGAGTCCCACGCGCTCTGGCTCCGTACCATGGCCGTGCTTGTTTGCCCCCTGTAACATAAAAAATAATAATAGAATTCAGTACAAGGACAAAAAAGTCTTCGGTTTTAGAAATAATAATAAGTAATATTAATAATGGAGGAGGCCTTTACTTTGTAGAGAGGTCCTTAATAATAATTATTTGTTTTGCATGTAATAATATTTGTAGTTTTGTTCATGTAATGATTTTTTTTTGTATTTTATTAATTTTAATTCGAGTTGGCTATTTTATTATTGTAAATTGTATTTTTAAATTTTTATTTATTTTAATCTTATTTTTTTCTATTTTAATTTCTCGAATTGTAATACCAAATTATGTAAGTTTTATTAAGGAATAAACAAGGCTTTATTATTATTATTATATATTAATAATATTTCAGACATCATATCATAAACAAATCCTGCCATCTAGTTTCAAACTAAGCAGAGCTTGTACTATGGTAATCAGACTGCTGATAAACATACTTATATATTTTTAAATACATACATATTATAGATAAATTACACCAGACACAGAACAAATGATCGTGCTCATCACACAATTATTTGTCCTGGGTGGGAATCGAACCCACGACCTCCGGCTTAGCAGTCAGGGTCACTAACTACTAGACCAACAGGCCCGTAAATACATGCATATTATATATAGTACACAAAACACCCAAACACGGAAAAAAATATTTGCTGATCATATAAACACTTGGTCCGACCCGGGAATCGAACCCGAAACCTCAGGCACAGCATTCCCATACGCTACCACTGCACCACCGAAGCAGTCAATAGACTGATAGACTTTTCTTTTCAGATGTAACAGAGTTCAGAAGAAGAAGAAGAAAGACGAATCAGAGTCAGAAGAAGAGAAGGAATCAGAAGATAGCGCCCCAGAAGACTCCCAACACATAGATGACTCGACGAGCTTCGGTAATGATGTGCTTTTGAATAAATCTGGAGATCTCACTTTGGACACTTCTGGTAAGAAATCCTATATTTCTAATTTCCAATTTTCTGGCTTTCAAAACTAGCTTCTGAGAGCCTCCTCAGTCATCATCATCAACAGCCTTTAATAGTCCACTCCTTGACATAAGCCTCTCCTTAGAAAAGAGGTTTTGGCCTACTATACCACGCTGGCCAGACGGGTTGGTATTTCTCTTTGCAGTGCTGTTGTCCTGCGTAGTTTGCTCCCTTAGTCGGTTTTTACAACACCAATGATGAATAGAGGTCATGACACTTCGTATTCTTAATTCCTCACCACACGGAATGTAGGCTTTTTTTTTTTGACGGGGTGGAAAATCCCTTTGGATCTCCTGCTCCTCAAGGCTAGGAGCTAGGATGGTGATTCCACTAAAAACGACCCCGACGGCCGGCCTCAGGTGCCCTACTCTAGGAGGACCAGGACCATGTTATTTCAGGTCCTCCCTGAATTAACACCATACCTAGTCAGACCCTATCCCAGGGACGGAATGTAGGCCTAGTGTTAGTTTATATCACATCTCTCTCGAAAATTACCGTATTTCCATCGTTAAGATTGCTGAAAATTTCATTGCGGGCCAATCGCATCACTGAACGAGGTCACCGTGACGATTGATTTGTTTTTAAGCTATTGCATAGCTTCTATCGAGGGCCTTGAGCGCGGGGACCGAATCCAGAAATTCCGTAACGAAAAAAACCTCACGCTAAAAACAAAACAAAAAACAGTACCAAAATCAAATGCTGAACGTCAAAGGAAATTTCGTCAACATAATGCAGAAAAATCTTACATGGATATGTAATTTGATTTAATAATAATATTTTTTATTTATTTATTTAAAAACAAATTGTAATATATGCTTCAATATTTTTATTTAATAAAAGAAAAAAAATTGTTTTCTTATCGGTTCACCACGCTCAAAAAAGTGTAACTTGAATTAATATCAAAGAAAAAGAAATACTGCATAAATAAAATAAATAAATAATTATAATTGCATAAGTTGATACGAAATGCTATGTATGTATAGCTTTACCGCGGCAGTCCGCGAGTGTCACACGTCTTTTTTTTTATGGAATAGGGGGCAAACGAGCAGACAGGTCACCTGCTGGACAGCAACTACCGCCGCCCATGAAAGCCTGCAAACAAAGGAGTCACAAGCAAATAAACTTACACTAGGGCCTCTGCTCGCAGCTTCCTTCTCATCAAGTGTACGAACTCGTAGTTATCTAAGTCAGCGAAATCGCAGTTTACAAGGCTTTACTTTATACATTCAATTTTAAAAAGACAACTCCCGCATTAGAAATATATCCTGTGTCGCGGGGGATTTTACAAACATACATGAAACGGACACAAAGAACACCCAGACTCAGAACGACAATTTGTGGGTCACACAAAGTGTCGTCCCATGTGGGGATCTAATCTACAACACTCAGAGTAGTAGTAAGAGGCGTGGCGACCGCTTAAACCACTACGCTATCCGTGCAGTCTAACATAATACATTGATTTTAGTGTTCAATAAACGCTCATAACGAGTTATTGAAGTGGAGACCGCGTCTTGGTAAACGTAGTGTAGGACGCCCACAGGCCAGGTGGAGTGACGATCTGCGCAATATGGCTGGCAGGAGCTGGATGCGAGAAGCCCCAAAATCGATCTAAGTGGCGTGCAATAGGAGAGGCCATGTCCAGCAGTGGACTGCGGTAGGCTGATGATGATGATGGTGATGAAACGCTCATAACCACAACATTGGTATTTTTTCCTAACTTCAACAGTAAATGTTTGGAAAAACGTATTAATAGCCCTAACACCCTCTAACTCATCACTTTTTATTTAGGCTTTTATTATGGCCTCATAGAAAGCCGGTGTTAAACCCCTCTCCCCCATAATACTAGGAGCGGAGGGGGTAGGAAGCGATATTCACTTCATGAGATGGCCTGTATGTTCGTTTGCCATCGATATCATGACAAAATAAAGAAAATAGGGTATAATTTATTTCCTACCAGCTTTCTATAGCTATAGACTATGTCCTTCCTCAAGATTCAAACTGTCTATATACCAAATTTCATCTAAATTAGTTCAGCGGTTATTGATTACCTATAAAAACATTTATTCCCTTTTTCACCCTTTTAAAGGAAGATTTCTGTGATTAAAACTATCCTATGTCCTTTCCCAGGACTCGAAACTATTTTTATACCAAATTTCATCTAAATCGGTAACAGACAGATACACTTTCACATTTCGCACCTTTATTCATAAACTGAATTAACTTAGAATTTCAATATTGTGGGAAATCGCATTTAAAGTTTGACATTCATGTACGTGCGAGTTCATCAAAAAGATAACGACGATCTCTTATCTCTGCCATTTTCATGGTATCGAGTCGGCTGTTGGATTGTTCGTGTTCTACTGATGAAGTTGATTTGCTATTTGTTGAAAACTCGAAAAACGTAAATTTTGAATTAATTCAGTTTATTATTAAAGGTGCGATTTATAATAATTAGTATGGCTACATCTGTTTACTAATTATATTGACATATTTTATCCAGGTATAGAGGAAGTGGAGACTGACGTGGGCAAATTCCTTCAACAGCCCACGGTGGAGAACCTGACGAGACTTGGACCTAATGCGGCTGATGTCATAGACGCTCATTTGCAAGTAAGTGATGTATCCTGTTGTGTGAGGGTTCTTAAGAAGAATCTTAAGAACAACTGATGACATCCTCCTTGTTCTTAAGATTCTGCTAAAGAACTACACCTGCAGGTGACCACGAGCGACCGTTATCTCGTCATCGCGAATCTTATTTTTCTTAAAAATCTTATTCCCAGGCCATTAAAGAAACAGCAGATCATATCCAGGCGTACGTTGACGCGACGTTGTGCGTGTCAGGCCTCTCTGATCAGAGCGCTCGCGCCAAGGTGGTCGCCGAGGAGATGATCCCCAGGCTCATACAGAGGGCCGGCGAGAGACACGCCGCGCAGTGGCTCCTTGCCAATACCGTACTTTCAGGACTTGGACTCATTAAGGTAATGTAACTGATACGCTTTACTTGGTAAATTAGTTAAAACTACTTTTGACTGGGCAAGTTGGTTAAAACTACTTTTGACTGAACTAGTTAGACTAGTACTTCTTACTGATCGGATTGGTCAAAACTACTTGTGACTGATCAGTTCAGTCAAATCTACTTTTGACTGTACCGGTTGGTCAAAAATAACTTTTGTCTGAAGATCGGTGAAAATTGGTTTTAGTTTGAAAATCGTTAGTCGTAAATAATTTTACTAAAAATATTTTTGACTGACATTATTAGTATAAAATACTTAAACTACCTTATTTTAATATAATTTTCTTATTTACAGTCTGAAGACAAAACCCGCAAGATCCGCTGGTCTCTCCCCCCTTGTTACGCGTGCATAGCGAAGTGCATGTCCGCCCCCTACTTCCCCGTAGCGCTACGAGACACGCTACAATTCTTCGCCAACGCCAAGAAGTCGACCATACCCTACGCCGAAACCCTATGTCGGTAGTTAGACTTTATTGTTGACAGTTACAGTTAGGGTTGCCACCCTTTTCTTTTGGTAGAAAATGGTAGTTTTAATTTAACTTTGATAACAATAGATTTCAAAATAGCGGATAAGTTTTATTCGTGTGCTACATTTTGTTGCAGTGTAAACTGTTTATAACGACCGCACATTTTTATCATGGATTTTCATGGTTTTGTGACCCCTAGCCCTGTGTATGTCACAACTGGTGACATTTGTGGCATTTTCCTTCTCTAGTGTGACGTCACATATGTTGCAATTATACAGGCTCTGTCTGAGATGTTTCAAGTCATTATTATTTAATACTAGTACAAACATTTAGTAGAATACTAAATGTTAAAGGGATGGCAACCCTAGTTACAACCCTTTGTAATAAATAACTCTATGAGTTTAATTTGTTGTATTAAATAATGTACATTATCATGACCAATTATTGTTATTTATGATATAAGGGACTAATGAGCACACGGGTCACCTGATGGCAAGTGGCAACCGTCGCCCATGGACACTTGCAACTCAAGAGTCACAAGTTCGTCGTCCTCCCCTTTCCCTCCCCCCTGTTAGGAATAAAACACCAGGATTGACAGACTGCACGGATGGCGTAGTGGTTTAAGCGGTCGCCACGCCGCTCACTACTACGCTGTGTGTTGTGGGTCTGATCCCCACATGGGACGACACTTTGTGTGATCCACAAATTGTTGTTCTGAGTCTGGGTGTTCTTTGTGTCCGTTTCAGTATTTTTCACGCTATACTTTGTTATAAGAATCAAAATTATGAATTTTTTATTTGTGAACAATCAAGTTCAAGGTGCTTTGCGCCTTCTAGTTTTTTTTTTTACTAGATAATAAATATGATTTAGAAATGGTGTTTTATTTCAAAACCTTTTTAGTGTAGAGGGCAAAACTATTTGACCCATCTGATGGTAATTGGCTTAGTTTCACTAACACTGGCTTTACCACCATCATGATTTGATAACACAAAAATTTAGTAGCTGATTTGTGGAAATTTGTCGCCAAATATCAGAATTTGTCGGTAACTGGTTCAAAAGTTTAAAGCTTTTATAGGGGGCTGTGCTGGGGTCAGTCTCCCCAGCTGGGCCACTCTTGTATGGCAATAACTTTTTCTAAATAAAAAAAAAAATAACTAAAGCACCTATCAAAAATCTGTTTTCCCCCAAATTTAGTCGCAAATTTGTCGAAATCAGTCGCCAAATATCAGAAAATATCGGTCACTGGTTCAAAATTTATAAGCGTTTATAGGTGGCCCTGTTTTCAATAATCCCAGCTGGGCCACGTTTATATCTCAAAAAGTAGGGCACCTAGCAAGGATCTGTTTTCGCCTAAATTTAGTCGCTAATTAGTCAGAATTTGTCGCCAAGCCACAGATTTAGTCGGGTCTTAGTTAAGGAGATATAATGAGCTCAATTTTTAAGTTAAGTGTAGTCAACGCTGCCCACTCGAGAGACAAGTGCGTTGCCATGCCACCCTTTATGTGATCCTCAGAATTTGGGGAGGGGATTTGGGGCTCCAGTAACCACACGACCCACAAATTTTATGTTTTTTCTACCCCCTCATTTTTTTTGTATTAGATGCATAGAGAGAACACTGGGGTACAGCTACCTGTAAGTAGTAGCGATACAAACAACAAGGAAGATGGATGCCCGATAGTTCCCTCTCTCTCTGTTTAGCTAAGCTACGATTGGCTGTCGTAAAGAGGGTATGCTTTTGATCATAGACCCGGTGGGAGATTAGAAATTCCCCAGCCAACCACTGATCTAGACTAGAAAGAGGTAGACGAAAATAATATATCTATTATCCATCTCTCTCGTTCCCTATATTCCAAGACTCTTGTTTCCTCTATGTTTATTTCTCTATGGTTATTTGTGATTGTAGCTTGGCCATATTCAAAATGGCAACATTGGCGCCTTTTTTGACAAATAATGTCAAAATAAAAATATAACCTATAAATCAAAGCCAATAAAGTCTAATTAAAAAGGCAGTACCTATTTCTTAGTTGTAAGAAACGAAATATTATTTTGTTATCTGTAGTGTTTAAGGGAAGCAGTGGCTTAAAACACAAGTAAGTATTCTATCGTCAACTAAAAATGTCACATCAAAACAGTATCTAGTTAACCTGACTATACTGTATTATTAGTAGATTTATCACTTGATTACTCTACAGGCCCGTCAAGTTTACTCCTTTACTTTTATAAAAAACATAAACATATTTTAAATAACTACAATAACATCGATAATAATAACTCTATACGTTTACAAATGTTCACAAATTAATTGCTCTAAAATTTTATTTAAATATTATGGGTACCTATTGGTAAGTATTATACATGTAACAATAATATGTACTAATACCAACGTTCCACACGACAAAATTATCATCCTCATCACCTGAATAGTTGGCGCTCCACTACTGTGCGCTTTTCGAGACACTTTTTGCCCCGCACAACAGATCTGTGGAACGGGTTATCGTCTGCGGTATTTCCGGACCGATACTACCTTCAATCCTTTAAGAAATCTCTCTCAAAAAAAAAATAACATAAAACTACTTTAAATATATATTATACACTTAAAGTAGAACAGTGTATACAATAGTGTCTGTAGTGATATATGTCTTTGTAATTTAATTAAAGTAACTTAAGAACTATAGTAGGCCAAAACCTCCTTTCTAAGGAGAGGCCTATGTCCAGCAGTGGACTACTATAGGCTGTTGATGTGATGTGATGTGAACTTAAGAAAATTAACTAAATATAAACATATCAATGATTTCCTCAAAGATTATGAACGCAACACACCCCGCAACAACGGCAAGGAATTTAGGGCCAACAATTGACAACTTTTTCCTCATAAGCAACTAACAAATTATAAATCAATGATTTAAGTCAAACAATCAAAACAACCACTTTTCTATATTCAATATGCTTCCATGGGCCATATTTCTTAACAAAGGAGTCCAAAAATGATTAATGTAAAACATCTAATGCAGGGGGTTAGACATGAGCACCAGGGACTTCCTTTCTAGGGTATACCTGGTTCCCCGGCTATTAGTACCCGAGACGGCGTGCGGTTTTAGTCGGTTCGTGTCTGACATGCCACCTATAGGTGGTATCCGAGGGGATGCCCGCACGGAAAAAAAAAAAAGGGGGTTAGACATACATTGGCACGCATCATCACACTATGTCATAGTATATGTAACATGTAATACCGTGTAGCATTTTTTATATATTCATTTAAAGAAATGTCCAATCTCTTCCAGAAAAAAAATGTCTGAAACATTAAAACTGAATCTCCAATTCGGTGGTGGCGCTGAACTACTATTTGACAGGATAAAAAAGCGGGAAATAGAGTTGCCAGCGTTGAATAAATATCTACCAGATAGTAATAAAGAAAAATGGACAATTAGAGAATTATTGATGTGGATCAAAGATAATTTATTAAAGGAGAGGCCCGAGTTATTTTTACAGGTAATTGGTAATCCTAGTTAAACAACTACATCAAGAGTTAGTGGTCAGAGAAAAAGTTGGTAAGATGGAAGGCAATCCTATGATTGGAAGAGATTACCTTCCATCTTACCAACTTTTCCTTTTATATTGAACACTGAATTCTTCCATCTTATTTCTAAAGCACCATCTTAGTATGTATATGAAATTAAAATATGGTCCTTTAATATGTTTCTGCTTACCCCTGTGAGGATATAGGCTTGAGTGTATGTATCTAATTCCTAAAATGCCCATCAACAGTCTTTAATAGTCCACTGCAGGACATCGGTTTTGGCCTACTATGCCACACTACCCAGACTGGTATAGGGTTTGTTTCAAGTTTTCCTCCTCTTTTCAGTGCTGTTGTCTTACGTAATTTGCTCCCTTAGTCGGCTCTTACAACACCCACGGGTTGAATAGGGGTGGTGACGCTCCATACTCTTAATCCCTCACAACACGGACAAAGTGCCTGGTTGATTGCGATAGACTTGCTGCCTGTTATGTAAATGCCCCTCTAGGAAGTGCAGATAGGAGTTTTAATACACTTCTTATTTCTTTCAGGGTGACTCCATCAGACCTGGTATACTTATTCTAATAAATGATGCAGACTGGGAATTGTTTGGAGAATTGGACTACGAATTACAGAATAAAGACCATATTATGTTTATATCTACCCTACATGGTGGATAAATTATATTTTTATATAAAAAAAAATATTTGTTTTATTTTTGGTTGTCTATTTTGGTACACTGTCCGTGTGGTGACGGATTAAGAATACAGAGTGTCATCACTCCTATTCATCCCGTGGGTGTCGTAAGAAGCGACTAAGGGAGCAAACTACGCAGGATAACAGCACTGCAAAGAGAAGGAAAACTTGACACAAACCCTATACTATACCAACCCGTGTGGTCAGCGTGGTATAGTAGGCCAAAACTTCCTTAATAAGGAGAGGCTTATGTCCAGCAGTGGACTGCTAAAGGCTTGGTTACGGTAGACGGTTTGGTTACCGTAGTACAGGCACGGTTGGGATGTAATCGCCGTGTGTGTGAGAAGTGTCCACTTATGATTATATATTGTACATAGAAATACTTAAAACAAAAAATATTCCCCATTGATAAATTTTGCTTACAACGCCATCTAGAATCATAAACGTGTTTATGCATGGTTTTCACAGATGGCGCTAGTGGTTTCTTAAATCGGTGTGGTAGCTCTTCAAACAGCCTACTCATAGAGTATGCCTGAGTATGCTTTGTTCCTAAGAGGTTGTAGCGTAATTGTTATACCTGACCTGATGAATGCCTACCTGTGTCCCCTTGTTGTAACGAAGGTCCTTATTGTGTGTTACACGCTCTGAGCGCATGGGAGCGAGACCGAAAAATGTGTAGCAAGCCGAAACTTGTGTGTTTTTACACGCTTTATATTAGCTTCACTTACATGTTTGTTTGTATGTTTGTAAGTGACTCCTTTGGGCGTGATTTTGACTGACTTTAAACGGTCAGAAATCGTTCAAACTTTGTATATATATCGAGGACCGGTGACAATACACTAAATAAAAAATAAAAAAAGTTTTTTAAAACTATATTTTTTTTCCAGAAAAATAAAAATAAAAAATAGAAACTAAATTTGAAAAAAAGCGTGGGGTGCTTTTTACTATTGACAACAGGCACCCAACGCTTTTTTTCAAATTTATTTTCTATTTTTTAGTTTGCTTTTCTATAGAAAGCGTGTATTTTAGTTTTTTAAAACTATAATTTTTTTTCGTGAAGAAGTGTCTTTTGCAATAGTTACAGCCGTGTTTGATGATTAGCTATTAATTTAATTATCCCAGATTATTCAGTGTAGTGTGTGATTAAGAATACGGAATGTCACCACCCCTAATTTTCTATAAGTTCAAAAGAAAAATAATATTATCATAATGCATATAAAATATTTTTACAACAATTTAGATCTAGCACCCCACGTGCTAGATCTCAATTGTTGTAAAAATATTTTACTGACAGATATTGGTAAATGTAAAATTACTATATTATAATAATCTTGAAAAACACCCTACGCTTTTGCTTTTTGATTAATTTCTCATTAAAACTAAAAAAGTTACAAGTAAGTAAGTATTCAAATTCAAATTATTTATTTTTGCAGAACAAACGGTTACAATGGATGTTGAAAAAATTACATGTTTTAAGTGCTTCTACCATAAGGCATGCAAAATTATACAGTTATAGATATTAAATTAATGCAATTTCCTTCTTAGAGTTATAGTAAATACAGGTCAAATTATTTACTTTTCATTAATTCATTAATTACTTTTCCATTTGTACGTACGTAGCAAAAGACACTACCGTATTTTCAGGTTAATCCTGAAGATCCTGATCAGGATAATTGGCCAAATTTATCAAATTATTGTATTGTCATCGGTCCTTAATAAGTGCGAAGTTTTTATTTAATTCGACGTTTTTAAGTGACTCAAAATTACGTTCGAAGACCCCGTTACATACATACATTCATACCAACCTAATAAAAGTGTGTTAAAACGTAACAGCAATGGGACTAATCCCACCCATCCGCCCACCACTATAACTCCTGTACACCAGGATCCACAGCAGTGACCCACGAACACACCGAGTTATGACACTCGAGAAGTCCCAGGAAGAAATTAAACTGTCTTGGAACCCGCAACGAAATTAATCAGAACAAAATTAGAATGATACATAACGTAACAGCAAGCCGAAGAAGCCTGGTCCTAGCCTATATCAATTCTTCAAAAGCATAAAGAGCTTTCTAAAATAACATTTCCAAACAATTTAGTACCCGCTTAATTCTGAACACGTGTCGAAACCACAGAGTAGTACCTAATGAGTTTTATTCCTGAACGGATAACCATTTTTGAAGAGTCACGTTTTAAAACGAGATTTCTATCGTCCGTTTAAAGGTCAAACTGAGAGATAGGAATTCTGTTAGCGGTATTATATGTATATCTTTGTACGTACATTTCTTTTAACGCACTTCAAAAAGACGGAAGACGTTCTGAATTTACACGTATTATCTATACAAATAAATAAAATTGGAGTGTCTGTTTGTAATATTAAAATAACCGCTTTTTACTAAATCCATATGTATGTTTACACAGTATATATGCCAAAATAACATTTTTTTACAATTTTTGTCTGTCTGTCTGTCTGTTTGTTTGTTTGTTCCGGGTAATCTCTGGAACGGCTGGACCGATTTCGACGGGACTTTCACTGGCAGATAGCTGATGACATAAGGAGTAACTTAGGCTACTTTTTTTAGACTAGCTTCGCCCCGCGGCGTTGCCCGCGGTTATAACAACAAACGCGGGTAACACCGCGGGTCTCAGCTAGTATAGTATATAGATGATGATTTAATACATGTTTGTATTTTTTTTTAAATGGGCCTATTCCCACCCACACCCACCTCTGTAACTCCTGTACACCAGGATCCACAGCAGTGACCCGCGAACACACCGAGTTATGACACTCGGGAAGTCCCAGGAAGAAATTAAACTGTCTTGGAACCCGCAACGAAATTGATCAGAAGAAAATTGGAGGAGTTGGAAATACAGTAAATCCACACACCACCACATATCTTTGTAATGTCAGAATGCTGTTATTGAAAAAACAATTTGGAGAATTCATTTCTTTAATTTGGAGAAGTTCTGGTTTATTGAAAATGACCCTGAAAGAATGGAAAATTAAAGAATGAAGATTAACGAAGGATAACATCATATCAACAGCATTTAATAGTCCACTGCTGGACCCTATACCAACACGTCTGGCCAGCGTGGTATAGTAACAAGTGTCGGAGAAAAGTCTTGTTACACATTTTTCGGTCTCGCTCTCACCCGCTCTGAGCGTGTAACGCGCGGTAAGGATCTTCGTTCCAAAATCTGTCGGTAAATTGAGGGTACCTTAGCTCGCGGGGGGGGGGGGGGGTCGTCTACTCGTCTGTAGATGACCCGAGGTATGTCGGGGCACCAGGGACTTCCTTTCTAGGGTATACCTGGTTCCCCGGCTATTAGTACCCGAGACGGCGTGCGGTTTTAGTCGGTTCGAGTGGTATCCGAGGGGATTTCTGCACGGAAAAAAAAAAAAAAAGGGGTACCTTAGCTGTCAGAATCGTTATCCTCTAAAACGACAGTCGTGGGTTCGATTCCCGGACAATAATTGTGTGGTGAGCACGATCATTTGTTCTGTGTCTGCGTTTAAATGTATTTACGTGTGTTATCTGATTAAGAAATATACAACTTCTCGTTAAATTTCCTCTCTTTTTAAAAATGGTGGTGACTTCAAATATCTGCTAGGTTTTATTATTACACGGACAATTGTTAATATGTTATGCAAACATAAAGTTTATAAATATACGGCCCTTTCTGCCGACCCCCTAATATTAAATCGTAATGATATTAAGCAGATTAAAACTCAATCTTTGTGGGACTGGTGTAAGCGAATGTATTTAAATGTACTGGTGAGTACAAAAGTGTTCGAAATAAAAAAATAATAGTATTAAGGGTAAATGGGCGCTCGGGGCAACGGTTCATATGATGGTAACTACCGCCACCCAGGGACTCCAGCAACTTTTTATTTTTATGAACCTATTACTATTTTAAGCCAAAAATCCGTTTTTTTTTTCTTTCAAATGAACATCTAAGGACACTTGGGTTTTTGAGACGGATAAAACAAAACGTTAACTGTTGGAACCCATCCAGCTGTTTGTTAGATACGAGGTAATAAAGAAATTTATAAACAAACATACAAGATACGGTCTTAAATATATATTTGGCAGTCGGGTAAAAAGCACCCCACACTTGATTTTTGTTTAATCACTTTTTTTTTAACTTACAGAAAAAACTAGTTTTTAGTTCTGCTTGTTACAAGTGCTTTTTTAGGTTTTTTCAAACTGTTTTCATTTATTTATTATAGAAATATGTGTATAAAAATGAAACCTGTTGTTTGTTGTTCATCATCAACAGCCTTTAATAGTCCACTTAGACAGGAGGTTTTGGCCTACTATACCACGCTGGCCAGACGGGTTGGTATAGGGTTTGGCCAGCCGCGAGGGGGCGGCGTCCGCGTGTGCCGGACAGCTGTTCCCGGATCCCTCCTATTACAGGCGCAGAGTGGCACACCGTGTGGTTTTAGTCGGTCCGAGTCCGACACACCACCCCGCCGCAAAACCCCGGTGGGGTGACGGTCCGAGGGGATTTCCACACGTTAAAAAAAAAAAAAGAAGGGTTTGTGTCAAGTTTTCCTTCTCTCTGCAGTGCTGTTGTTCTGCGCAGTTTACTCTCTTAGTCGGCTCTTACTACACCCACGGGATGAATAGGAGTGGTGACACTCTGTATTCTTAATCTATCACCACACAGACTGTCGGTGTTTATTGTTAACTTAATATACAGAGATATAGGATGTTTATAAAATATTTTTTTATTTGATGCTTATGTGCGCGATATTACCTACCACCAATAAACAAGGGTGCGAAGAGTAGGGGAGGTCCGTTAATTTTTAAATGAATGACAGCGTACAGGTACGGACTCCATATTACAAACGATTATAAAATATATATATATATAAATATTATTATCACACTATACTAACATTAAAATAACCAATTCTTTCACAAAATATTCTTAGCACAATAAGTGATCCAATTTGGAAAATTATATTTTGAATTCG